GAATCGTCGAACGGTAGTTCGAAAGGCATTTCTGTTCTTCTCACTGGCTCCACAGGCTTCTTGGGAGGAGGCATTTTACGTCAACTGGTGGAACTACCCAGTGTCGCGCAAGTTCACTGTGTGGCCATTCGCCCCAGCATGGACGGTATACCCCGACAATTGAGCGTGGAATCACCCAAGATTATTCGCCACTCTGGTGATCTTGCACTTCCCAATTTGGGCATGAGCGAGTCCGGAGCCTCAGATCTATTCAAGAGTATCGATGTCATCGTTCACAATGGCGCTGAAGTGTCGCACATGAAGAACTATCGCAGTCTTCGAGCTGCCAACGTTTTGTCGACAATCGACCTGGCACGGCTGGCTGTAAGCTATGGTATCCCGATTCATTACATTTCCACTGGAGGTGTAGCGCGCCTAAGTGGCGCCGACGAGCAGCCCGAGGCCTCACTCGCCGCATTTTACCCTCCAAGCGATGGGTCTGACGGATACGTGGCATCCAAATGGGCAAGCGAGGTTTTCCTTGAAAAGGTTCAAAGACGCTTCAAAGGGCAGGTCTGGATCCACCGCCCCAGCAGCATCACCGGCGACAATGTTTCCGAGTTAGATATTGCGCATAGTCTGCTCAAGTTCTCCAGGGAGTTAGGGGCTGTACCTGATCTCACCGGGTCCACTGGCTTCTTTGACTTTATCAACGTTGAGACTGTTTCAAAGACCATTTCTGACTGTATTGTCAATGGCAACCAAAGCGGTTGTGGTGATCTTGTCTATGTCCACCAAAGTGGCGAGCGCGTTATCCCTGTCGGAGACTTGCAAAAGTATGTCGAGGAATTGGAAGGGCGGCCACTGCAGGTTTTACCCCTGAAAGAATGGGTAGCTACATCTATTCAAAAGGGGTTGAACGAGGTTTTGGGGTCCTTCATGTTGGCCTCTAGGGGTGTGATTCGAGCACCTCTGTTGCAAAGGGGTTATCAGGCAGAGTAAAAAGGAAGATTGTTATGGGGTATAAACGGCGCTTAGGTGTTCTTGGTTCACGTCTAGTTATCAAATTCTTTATTATCAACATCTGAAACGTCCAATTGCCATGAACATGTCATAAACGAGGCATAACTTAACTCCTCACGTAACGGCACGTTACTTGATATTAAACGACCCGCAGGTACAAAGATTTGCTTGACACATAATGGCGTCAACAGAGTTTTGTTTGAAGTTGCGTTGAAGTGCATTAGTACGGGCGTGTTTGTGGATACAGTGTGGAAAGTAGTTGTACGATTGTCTCAGACGCACAAAGTACAAATTACGGGTAAGTTACAGTGTGTAAAGTGATACAGGCATGTGATAAAAATGCGCAGGACCAGATTAGTCATTGATCACATGAAGCCCTCCACCTGGGCAGGGTTGGAGTCCACGGTTTAACGTTCTTTTCAGGTACTTGTTGCACAACAAAATATTCATGCTCACAGGGGTAGTCTGAGGCAACTGGCAAATTCTCAAGGCTTCTGGCCAAAGGCAATAATCATCTCAACTTGACCGCCTTCGCTCTCCAGCTCTTCCTTGACACGTGCCGGAAGCGCATCAAGCTGCTCGTCGGTAAACGAAGATGGCACGGTCCTGGCCACGCTAGTCAATGGCACAATGGGTCCGGTGACCCCATGGATACTGATATCGTGAAGCTCTGGCTTCGCTTTCTTGCCCAAGTTGACAATGACACGCTTCTCCTGTACGTTCTTGAAGCCGGCCTCTTCCAACATGGTCTTGTTGTTGTTGGCAAAGTCACCTACACCAATGCCGGTAAACATCTCAGAGGCCATCTTGGCAAAGTCCGTCATGGCAGGGCCATTCTTTGGCGGGCTGAAGCCATTCATTTCCATGAGCTGAACCCAGCCGCTGGGCTTTAGCAGAGGAACAAGGTTCTTGATCACAGGGGCTGGTCCCTCGGGAGCGGAGCCCGCCATGCTGCCTCGGATGTGGACAAGGTCGAAAATGCCCAAGTACTGCTGGGGCCATGGGTTCTTGAAGGAATGGGCGAAGTAGGTGATGCCATCTGCATTCTCTGGGAACAGCTCGCCTTCAACGTCGCTACCATAGTATTCATGCTGGGCTGATTGCTTGCTACGTACGCCGCGAAGCCAGGTGCCTTTTAAACTGGTGTCAACGCCATAAAAAGAGTAAGTCAGAAGTAAGCAGCTTACCGTCAGCGGTACCAGAGTCCAAAATCTTCTTGCCCGGCTTGTTCATGTCAATGGGAGCCACCACAAGCCTGCCCCCCAATGCATCATCATAAGTGGCATCCAGCGCAACTAAACGTAGCAGCTCGGGCTTGTGCCCGAGGTTCTTGGTCATTCGCATGAAATTATTCATTTTGGATCTTTCCTCTTGATGACCCTTCTGTTGCTGTGGAATGATCTCTTTCCTGGTCAAATTAAAACATACAATGGAGATGCAAGGTGCCTAAGTCTAGATAAGTTACACATTAATCCCGATAGGGCCGATTCTGTACATGAGCAAGCAACGTCGGGTGAATTAATGCTGCTCTGTTGCCCCAATTCTCTGTGGATCACATTTAGGCATTAGAACGTCATCTTGTACCGAAATGCGAACTTGGTACATGTCTGCATCGCCGGGCCGAACGGTGTAATTGCCGTATATGGGAAAAGTGCCGAATCTGATGCATATGCCGAAATGGTCAGGTCCCGCGGCTAGTGATTCGCGAATGCAGCGAGAAATGGACAATTTCTTCGCTTTCGTGTGGGGCAACACATAGAGAATCCGTTGCATTCAGTCATCTATTGCATGATGAAGTCCGAGGCACGGCGCTGGTCAGCCTGGTTATCCACGATCTGCCAAGAACGGTTTTCATGATAACCTTCTGAACTCGACGAGCAAAGCACGAAGAACGACTTCGTGGCATCTTATTGGAAAATAACGGGAACAAACAAACGTGACAATGATTTCCTTGTACCACTTGTCGTGGCTCGGCTTAGTGGCATTTGTTTTGCAGTATGTTGCTGGGGTCTTGTCAAACCATCAACGTAAAAAGGGCGCCAAGGTGCCGCCCGGGCCAAAAGGTATATATGAAGTCAACTCAAATCTTCAATTCTTGTACTAGGTGTCAATCACTGGCTAACAATGGAAAGGATGGCCATTTCTTGGAAGCGCGCCGACACTAGCTTCCGTCGATGTTAATGGTATTATCGGCATCTTTAAAAAGTGGGCAGAGCAGCATGGCTCCATAACTCAGTTCAGCGCCATGGGCGACAAGCAAGTAATTCTTACTGAAGATAAGGATGCAAGAGAGTTATTTGTTAAGCGGGGAACGAAGTATTCCGATCGTGGAGCCCCCCATGCTGTGGAATATATTTCCATGAAACAGAATCCTGGTTTCAGGCCTAAAGACGGTAAGCAGCATACCCCAGTCACGACGAGAACAGGATCTTTTGGCCTGCTTTAGGATTGTGAGGAAAGTATTGACAGGTTACAGATGGATGGCGTCGCCAAAGAAGCATGATACAAAGCGCTATCAACATCACCTCCATCAATAAATACCAGAGCCTTATGGATGATGAAGCAACTTTCACCTTGAACGCACTCCTAGAATCACCGGACTCGTTTCATGGAGAGTTCTTACGATACTCCTACTCTGTGTTGACGTCCTCGTTGCTCGGCTTCTCAGTCCGCAGTCCATCTGACCCTTTTATCGACCACAATGAAACATTCACCGCTGAACTCATGAACTCATTCCGCCCTGACTGCTTCCCTTCCAATGTATTCCCGTTGCTAAGGAAGATGCCGATGTGGCTTATGCCAAGCTTGAGAACTATGGAAAGGCTTAGGAAAGAGTATGTAAGCGAGATGTGGGCTTTCAGAAGCAAGATTGAGAAGCTTGTCAAGGATGGCTCAGCGACAGAGTCCATCTATAAGCGCTTTCTTCTCAACCGAAACGAGTATAGCGTCACCGACGAAGAGTCAGTTCATACTTTCCAGGCCATGATTGACGGTGGAACTCGCTCTCCCCATAACAACCTACTTACCTTCTTATTCCTGATGATGGAGTTCCCTGAGTGGCAGAAGAAACTCCAAGAGGAGGTTGACAAGGTCGTTGGCAAGGATCGAATGCCGAGTTATACGGACATTCCCAATTTGCCCACTGTGAGAGCTATTGTGAAAGAGACCGTCCGATACAGAAGTATTGTCGCAGAAATGGGCATTGGTCATTGCTTGCAAGAGGACGACATCTACGATGGCTACTTCTTTGAGAAAGGAACCGTTTTCAACGCAATATTCGCGTAAGTGGTTGCCCACACTCACTCGAGGATATTTGCAACAATCTGTTATTAATATCTACCAGGTCTATCCTCATGGACAAAGATATCTATCCAGATGGCAAAACTTTCAATCCTGCCCGCTGGCTTGAGCCTAGTTACCCGACCTACAAGGAACCCCTAACCACGTATCCGAATTGTCAAGGCTTTCCAGCATTCGGTTATGGTAGGCGGGCATGCCCAGGTGTTGACTTTGCAGAAAGGACATTAGTCATCATGTTTGCAAAGCTGGGATGGACGCTGAATATTGGATGGCCGACGGATGAGGACGGTAACGAACTTCGGGAGACATTACAATATGAACCAGTCCCAGCACCGAGACCATTGAAGTTCGGTTGCAAGCTTGAGGCTCGAGACACATATCGAACCAAGATAGTTCAGGAGGCAGCCGGGCATTTGAATTTACAATGATATACATCGCTTCGATGTTAGATGAATCAACACCAGAAATACGACTTTTGTAACACGAAACTTTGTCTGAAGCATATTTAGATTGCAATCAATGTGAGCGCGAATTAACCAATAAACCAATGTTACACCTACCCTGTACCATAGTCACTGTTAATTAGCATAAGATGTCCGCAGAGAATCTTGTTATAAGGAATGACCTTTCAACCGGAACACGGCAGAAAGACGGGACTTGAGAGTAACTTAGATTCTATGTCTATCATCATATTTATATCATAGTCTATTCCAGAATTCCATGGCTATTGAGTTTACATCTCTCGCTCTCGAGATGGCAATCTCGTGCCCTCCGCCCAGGACATGAATCTCCACGGCTTCTGTCCCAAGTATCTCACCCGCGTCAGTGGCACATTCATCTCCCACAACAATGACGTCTCTCTCGGCCACTATAAGGCAGACCTTTCCGCCCGGCAATCCCGGTAGAGCATCCGCGGTTCTTCTTCTGGCAAGCTCGTCGGCCAGAATTCTCCACATTCTGTCATGTCTTCTATAGACTAGAGCACTGCGGAGCGTACTCAGGTAGGACCGCACAAAGCCAGCATTGGCTCCTAACTGCCATCGAATCACATCTCCAACAGTGACATGTGGCCGATCTTCCGCGATAGGCACATCATCAAATGCCAAGTCGTCCTCGTCCTCTTTTTCTCCAGGAACATCAGCACAAGCAGCACCGTTCCTAGGCTCCAAACTGGCACGAAAGAGCTTGAGGCGTAGCCACTCCGGTATAATCATGGCAGATGAGTATAGTACTCGGTCCAGAGGCCTCATGTGCGACGTGCGGATGAGTCCCCCTGGGCAAACCAGGGTTATGGAACGAAGCATAGTCGCATGGTAGGCGGCGAAAGCCACGGCGATCGAGCCACCGAGGGAAAAGCCGATGATGTGGAAGGCGGACGTTCCAGTCCAGGATAGCGGGGAGGAACAGAGCACAAGCAGAATTTGTGTGGTGTAGAGTCTTGCATCAAAAACTAAGTCATTTGGTGCATCGGAATAGCCTCGACCAAACAGATCTACAAGTAGCATGTCAGCCAGAGTTATCCCACTGACGAAACTGCCGTCATTCACTACACCAAGCACAGAGAAAACTTACCATATATCATAACCCTGTAGCCTTTTCTAACCAACTCTTTCGCCATGTCGCCAAGTGCTATACAGGGTGTACCTAGGCCATGCACGAGCAAGACCTTCTCCCCATCCTCCGGACCCCATTCGAACACATGGATCGTTCCATATACAGTCTTAAACTGCCTGTTTCCTGGGAAGGCGTCAATCGGGTAAACTGGTTTGGAGAATATTTGTCCCTCTTGCGCCGCCGGTTCAGCTCTCGCAGGAGTAAAGGTAAGTTCTTCGGGCGTTTGCTGTATGTCCTCAAGGGACGAGCGAATCTGTATGTACAAGGCGACACATACTGGTGCTGAAAGGACAGTTATGACTAGTGCGAGTCTGAAGTCCATGGTGAAAGGAATTAGAACTCTCCACATATCTAGTTTTGAGATAAAAGCTGTGCGATCTGTCTTATGCTTACTGGATCCAAAGCTTGACAAACGAAGGGCAGCCATCCATCTTGAATCTTGCATCATTTTACAAATAGGTAATACCAATAGGTAATACAAAGTTTCCTCCGCCGGAGCTGCAATCTCGGTGATCTTGATACACTTCTCCCTTAGCTGACCTGCATCGGTCCTTGCATTTAATTGCCGAAGACCTAGCCTCCGGCGGGACCGAAGTCATTTATGCTTGTGACCCCAAAAGGAGATTAGGCCCTAGTCTATATATAATAATCGGATGTTCCGATTTTCATTACGACCTGTTAGTCTACTGGTAAAATACGTCTTATGCAATCCTTTAGGAGCAGTCAGTGACCTAAGGAATCTGTCGGATTCCATGTCATTGTATTGTTTCCTTTGATATTGAAGATAAATTTGGGAGAATCCGCCATAGGGTGCTTAGGTTTGGGTAGCTTCAATAGCAACAGCATCAACATTCCCGGGGGGCGGTCTCAGGCGTTGGCTGTGGTATCTCAGGCTTCTTTTCGGGCGGATTGTTGGTCAACTTGGGCTCATCCAGAAGCTGAAACTTCTCGGTCACAGCCTGATAAATTGGCTGATGGCAAATCATCTCGTACCAACGGGACACATTGGGATTCTGTTGCCTCCAAGCTTTGCCGTAGAAAAATTGGAAGCCGAGAGAGATGTTTCCGGCACAAAACAGATCGGCAAGTGATAGCTGCTCACCAACCAGGAATTTGCGGTCTTGCAAATACTCCTCGACCACATCGACGGATCTCTGGGTCATGTTGGTGAACAACTCAACCTGGTCTTTGTCGTAGGGAATTATACCAAGCTGGGGCAGTAACATTTGAGTCATAAGAATGACTATCTCTGTATTGAAGAAAGACATCCACTTAATGATCTCGGCGTATTCCTTCTTGTTCCCTCCGAGGAGAGTTGTCTGTTCATTTTGAGAAGTGACTGAGGAAGTGTTGACATCAGCTTTGGACAGCACAAACAAGTTGAGACGGCCTAACCATAGAGAGCAATCGCCATGCATTCAAAGAGCTTGAAGCCATCCGCACCTTCGAAGGCAGGAACCTTGCCGAGTTTGCTAATGCTCAAATGGTCGGGGGTCCTGGGCATCTCGCGAATGTCGAGGTCGAGACCATTGTGCTTGGCGACGGCCTTGATGGCTATCGTTCGACACTGGTCGCCCTAAAAGGAAATGAATTGTCAGTAATGGGTAACACGTTGCAACGATTCGCAATTGTACGTACAGGAAATGTGTGCAACGTTCCAAAAACCATCTCGAAGGCTATTTGATCTTTGTTAATATTTCAGAGCAGATTGCCTTCAATATCCTCAATCTACCAGCAGTCTGGCAAGCCTATATATAAGATCCCTTGTGAACTCCCAACCTAGCAATATCAAAATAGCGGGATTCTTAGTGGTTGTCGTGCATTCGGATGATGCCCTGTCATTTTTCGGCGGGAATACTTATTTAGGCTTAGCACAGACTGCAGGCTGACTATTATGGTTTAGCATCATCAATGTGCCTATTGAAGGGACATTGCTAGATGGACATTCCCTAAGGCTAGATGGACACATTCCTTCCTGATTAGAAATGTGGGTTGGAAGTGTATGACACACGTACTTAGCAAAATTGTGTTTTAAGTCATAGCATCAGAGGTTAAAGTCCCGTGGGTATATACACTAGTCCTAAATTGGGAATTTGAGTTATTCTTACAGATATATCGGATATAGGCCTCTATAGTAGTGAGATTTTTGCTTTAGTAAGGAAGGTAATAATCTAGGTTGACCCTTGAACCATGGTTTTCATGAAAAATCTGGCTATTATTTAAGCAATTAGGCGGTCTAGCCGTATTACAGAATATAGGCTGTCATGGGACTTATACGATTTCGATATACACACTAGCCTTCCGGAAAGCCCACCGTTAGGCCCGGATCCCCGGGCCCAAAGCCCAACCCCTTGGCTCACGGTGGGCCCCAAATAGGCCCACGAAAGCCTATTATTGAATAAATTCCGAGCTTGGCGGTTATAAACCCGCTTAGTCAACGCTCCTATAATTACTGTAATTCGGCCTTCTACCGGTCGTATGAAGCTAAAAATTATATATTATCTTTAAAAAGGCCTTCTATATATATCATTTTAATTTTAGCTTAATGCGACCAGTAGAAAGTGAGTAAGAGGTTAATTTGTAGAATTTATAGTTTGAATATGAAGATTGAGCATTGCGATTACTAGTAAACACCCGTGATAAACTAAAACGTTTAAAATTACTATATTATTATTATTTAGACTGTAATTCATAATTTTAATCGTGAATTTAGTACTATAAATAAATAAATATTACCGATATATAAGGTCTACAAACGAGCTTCAAACATTGTGTAATATTCATAAGTCATGTGATTAGGCATTTTTGCACTGTTTAGCAAGACGGGCTCAAGAACTAGGCCCGAAGCCTAACCCCTAATAGGTTGGTGGGCTGGTTTGAGTTGAGCTTTGGGCTCTGCGGAAGTCTACAATACACTCCGGTGTAATACAATTACGATCCACCTTCTTATATAGGAAGGTCCGTGTCCATATAGCCTTTGGGGTTGTCCGTCTCGCACTTTCCGAAGTAAGTCAATGGCTTCATTTAATACAATATTACTTCCTTATAGCTTGTTGACCGCATGCCCTAGTCACCACTTGGGCAGGGGTTTGACTTTGCTTACAAGCCACCGCAGTCAGAATATCAGTTCGTCCGAGCGCTAATTGCTCCCAATGCAGAAGGTAGCGAAGGGATGTCGTCACAGCCCATGTGGGATGGAGATTGTCACTATCATCAAGCCACTCAAGCCACATGGATGGATTACTATGGATCTGCAGTGCTCAGCTTCGACCTCGTTTGTTCAAAACAATGCCAAGGCGTGGGGGCTGTCCGTGAGCGGTTCAGAGACAGCTATTGGTCAATGACTTATTTCTCTTGGGCATATCAATAACTTTAATACTGGAAGCGCGAATCAACTTCCTGACCACAAAAGTGGAAGATCGCATCCGGAACCCATAATTACGTCAAGAGTGTCTTGTGAACTTGAACCACGGTTCGACGGCGATTTGCCCCATATTGTACCGAAGTTAGACCGAACAACACGTCATAGGCATCTGGGCTTTGAACCGGCGCTCTTACGATTACCAGGCAATGTGAGTATCAAATCCAGATACTCGATAGTCAGAGTTGTCTGGCAAAAATTGGCGAGGCTATGCAGTTAAGGGGCGTGGTGGCTCCAATAGGAATGTCGAATGTGCAGGTAAATGCCCGCGTCGTGTGCCTTCAACTCTAAGTGCGCCGATCTACCGGATCCAGCCTGCCAAGAAACCTAAATCTGCCAAGAAGCGTGCAAAAGAACCCTTGAAGTGCCTCCTTTTCCCACGTCTCCCTGCCACATTTGTTTAACTCGCCATGCTCCCACTTGGAGCTCATTCTCTTAATGTCTCTACGGCTACTATGAGCTGGTTAGCAGCCTGCGCAGTCGAGCAAAGCCAATCGACTTGAGCTTTCCGCCCCTTTGCCAACATGGCCGGCGAAAATGGGCCTCTTGACGTGTCCCGGACACTTGCCATGGTGATTGCAGCACTTTTTGCATTAGCATGCTGGAACGTTCTCCAGATCATGGTTGCGATCTTCACGACCTTCAGACGCTGCCAAGGCCTCTACTTCTGGAGCATGTTAATATCGACACTGGGAATTCTTCTACACACCATTACATCATTCCTTCGCTACTTCGCCCTCGCCCCTAATTTTCCTATGTGTGTCTTGATCTGCATCGGCTGGTATGCTATGGTCACTGGGCAGTCGGTGGTGTTATATTCACGACTCCACTTGGTGACTTGCGTCGATCGCTACTCTCGCTGGGTGCTAGGAATGATCATCTTCAACTTTTGCGCCTTACACATCCCCACCACCGTCCTTTTCCTCGGGCTAAATCGCGGCATCCAGAGCTTCTATAACCCATTCGATATCTACGAGCGTGTTCAATTGGCTGGGTTCGCTATTCAGGAGACCATCATCAGCGGTCTTTATATCTGGGAAACTATGACTAGCCTGAGACCTGTTCTGGCTCTGAAAGGAACCCGAGGCAAGAGGGTTATCACGAACCTTATTGTTATCAACGCCATTGCGATCTTGTTGGACGCATCGCTTTTGTCAACGGAGTACACCAACCACTTCGACGTCCAAACAACATACAAGCCGGTCGTCTACAGCATCAAGTTATTGTTGGAGTTCACAGTACTCAACAGTCTGCTTGTTGTTATTCGCACAAGTCCATCTACTATTGAGGATGCTCAAAAGCTGCACGGGGATGCCAATCTTCGCCTGGAGCCCCGGTGGAGTGACAATGGTTCGGGAAACATTGCTCCATTGGGCTTTGGTGCAGATGATTCCGATCATGGTTATCGACAAACATCATCTCGAGATTCACCTCTCAAAGAGCATAGATCAAGGGAGTCTTGCAGGAGTCATTTTGAATCAGTTTAGCGTATTTGTATATTAATTTCTTTCCTTGGGCTTGCAAATCAACTAGACATTTTCAGAACATCCTCTACGAGAGAGCATTTCTCCCGAGACTATTTCTTACTTGGCTGCGTTCACACTGCTGCTGTAGAGATCATACGTTGATTCCGAAATTCCACGCTTGGCTCTAATCGTCTATTCTAACACTGGAGACCAAGCTCAGCTCAACAGGTTTATTCCCTGTCGGTTTACCAAAAACTTTAAAATACATCAAACCGGCAGCTCGAACTTGCTCGTGGGCCGTACCTTCATCCCGGCCTTTTCATATGTTCGATCGATGGCCTCCATCTGTTTGATACTGTCATCGCCATCAACCCAAACCCCAGAGCCCTCACGGCCCTTGATCTTGTTCACAAACTCATGAAGCTGACAATGATAAGTTGACCACCAGTCTTCGCCGGCATATGCCTGCTTGTCACCAGATGGCCAGGAGTACGACTTGAGGTTTTGCGATTCCTTCCACGTTTTCAATAAAGTTCCATCCCGATGGATTGTGTGAGTATCTTCCACGTCAATCCGGTGATATACACTCGGCGCAAGATGATTCCACAATGTCACTTTCCGCTTAACGAAATGTTTTTCATCGTCGGCGCTCTTGGGGGACTCCACCTCTTTCTCTCCGAGCTCAGCCTCGCATTTTGGCCAGCCAATGCTTGGAATATTCTTCGTCCAGGACGAAGGCAACAAAGGCCAACCCCCCGACGCAGCCAAATCAGCGATAATGCTCCCTGTGGCACCGCTCTCCGTTTTGTATGTTGCGGTCATCGCCTGATCAATCTGCTGGCCTCCGGCCTGATCAGATTGAGAACTCGGAACACCCCTCCAATGCACCTCAATAACCTGGCTTGGTTCCTCCCGCAGAATCTGGCGCAAGCAGTTAACAGTATACGTGCCGAAATCCATCATAGCACCACCTGCAAGATCATAGCGCCACCGGATGTCATCGAAAGGGATGACACCCTTGAAAAGATATTGTTGCGCATGTGCATGCTTCACCGGCCCGGCTACGGCATCATCATGAATGAGTGACATGAAAGTTTGCCATGCGGGATGGAAGCGATAATGGAACGCTTCCAGTAGAACGGGAGCATTAGGTGCCTTGACCAAGGGGTGGTTGAATAGCGCCCTAGCCTCTTCGCCATTCGAGCACGAGGGCTTTTCTAGAAGAACGTGCTTCCGTGCCTTGATTGCGCGCAAAGCCCATTCAAAGTGCAGACTGTTGGGAAGAGCGATGTAGACGGCATCAATGCTTGGATCGTTAAGCAGGTCTGGGAAAGTTAGCATGCTTGTTGGAACTTCCCGGTATCTCCGATAAACTTGGGATTTCTACCTTCATAGGAGGAATGGACAATTGGAATACCGTGCTTCTTGGCATACGCCTCTGCGCGACTGCGATCTCGAGCTGCAACGGCGGCGATGATGACTTCTCTATGAGACCTTGCCGGCGTGATCAAGGCAGGAGGACTAAAGAGGAGAATTGAATAACATGTTGCAAGAATCCGATAGTATTTACTTACGCGATATTGGATGCTCCGAGAAGTCCGAACCGAATGGCGTCATCCTCTTTTCGAGCTTGTGGAGGATTGATGAAGCCTGCGTAGATACGATAAAGCGCAGCAAATACCATGATGACGTTGGTATATCCGTTTGAATCTTGTTATTTCCAGCTAGAGAGATTGATGGACAGATGGGTTCGGCTATATCCTCCTTCGGGTATAAGCCAGCGGACAGCAACCTCTCAAGGCGGGTCTAAGATCTCTTCGGGCCCGAAATACACTAGATTGTAAAGAGCAAAAGGTTCACTTTGTGGAAGTTAAAAGCGATTCAATCGGATCGATGAAGCCTGCGCATCGATCGACAGAAGTTCCCAGGTCGTCAGTGGCGCTGAGCTCGGAGCACGGAATGTCAATTTCCCCGCGCCGGGACGGTGTTGCGACTATATCCAACACAATTGCACGATGTATCATATCTACGACGGATAAGTAAATGGCATAGCATGTTTGTATGCCTCGCTGGCTGTTGACGTGCACACGTCTTCTTCAAGTGATCATCCGAACGTTATGTTATCAACACGACCTTGGAGCTTCCCAGTATGCTCTTTTCAATATTTCAACCACACAAGGCAGTGGAAGTTCGATTTAAATGTGCTAGAAAAATATACAGGCAAATCAGTTTGGCTAAGAGGGGATATTCAAGGCTAAAACCAGGGTCTTATAATGAGGTGTCCGTTATAGCACAGAAAAACACCGGTCATCGAATCGACCCTAACCGCAGCGAGTGAACACCAATTTTCAGCAAAGACATAATGTCATAGACTGGCAGGATAATATGTTACTACCCTGTTGTGATGGTGGCATCTTGTTTCATTGGAACGGGCGAGGTGCATGCCCTATAGAGCGTGAGATGTCTACCTTGTACGACCTTTGTTGACTGAGACATGTTGGTGGTGAAAGTGTCGAAGAGTAATATGTGTTCCTCAGGATATTCCAAATCATCGCAACATATCTTCAAGCAGAAAATCAACTGTTACACCAAAGACAACATGTTCGCCATGCTTGTAAACTCAGCAAACCCGTTCTTCCGATTCCATCTCCGCGTCCCCATCCGACCCGATACAGCACCTGATGATCCACCTAGACTACTGACTGTCATCATATGTTCTGATCACTGATGAGCAGGTCATGCCTCGCGATACAAGTTCGCAGGTTTTCTCTCCAACAAATCAGAAGCAGCTGACATGCTCAAGATATTTTGCATTAAATCCTGCAACATTGTAAGTCGTTAAAAGATCCAGATGGCAACTCCTTGGTAAATTGAATTTGACTATATCGAATGATATCACATATCTAGATACAGCAAACGAAATGCACGGCTATATACAGAAGCCCAAAATCTCAAGTCCGAAAGACGACCTCCGTAGAGGCTAAACTCAAATGGCATGCGCTCATCTTAATCGTAAAGCATCACCGAGACATTAAATCGGATTCATCATGTTCGCATTGGGGACCGCGGGCTCCATCCCAGACACGGAGGGTGGAGCAGGTGTGGATTTCGTAACTGGAACGGGAGAGACAGTTGTAGGCACGCTCGTATCGAGATGGCTGGGACTGCGACTGCTTCTGCTTTGGCTCTGTGACTGACCGCCGCGTGATACGCTACTGGCGGCGGTACTGCTGCCCAGTTTGCCGCCGCGCTTGACCATCTTGCCTAGTACGCCGACAATCTCTGCTGCGTCTTCGAAGGCTTCGTCGTCCATGCCTTCTTGGGCATTGTAGACATCTGCGATTGCTTGTTTTGCCAGACGTCGGCAGGCGACCGGGTCTTGGAGGCAGTCGTAGAGGTATGCGGCGTATTCGAGCTTGACGGACAAACGGAGCGGGTGGGAGCCTGGGAGAAGTTTGTCGGAGAGGGTGGCGGCATGATTGAAGCAGGCTGTTGCTGTGGCGGTGTAGTCCAGTGGTGGGAGGAGGAAGGAGGAGGCTGGTTGGGGTGGCTGAACTGGTTGGACTGTGGATAGGCCTGGGGGCCGAGAGGCGAATATCGATTTTGGATGGAGAGGATCGGGTGGGCCCAGAGCTGTTAAGGAGTCCGGGCCGTATATTGAGTCATGTTTGAAGCGAGCTGGAGGCTCAGTATCGATATGGACGACGGGGCGATTGTGGAACAGGACAAAAATATGGTAGAATGAGGCGCGGAGTTTGTAGGAGAGGACTTTCAGTTCCACAGACATGTCCACCATTGGCAGAATAGCGCCTTCTAACATTAGCAAGCCCTCACGGGAGAGCCATATGATGTGGTGGTACAGCTGGAGAGATCTTGTTTCGCGTGTTGTGTCTAGTCGCCGGAGTTTGCGGGCCCGAAGCAGCTTTTTCGATAGCATGACAGATACGCCGAGCACTTTGTATAACATTGCCGAGAGGTATGGGCTTTCGAGGCTCATGGCGGCCGCAAAATTGCCCAAGGCCTTCTGGTCAACTTCGGAGGAGGCCATCCATAAAGCGCAAGTCGCGGAGACTGGGGAACTGGAACAGGAAGTGTCAGCCATTTTGCTCTCGGGTCTCAATGCAGCAATTGGAAGTCAGGTAAGACAGAGACGAAGAATGGCAATGGAAGGAGAACTCCGGTGGGAGCTAGAGAAGAGACATCTGCAAGAAAAGCGCGTAACGCGACAAACAATGACTTACGGAAAGGCGCGCGGCAAACAGGGCTTCAAACGAGACGCAAACGAAGGGCCTGCACCATGCTCCGAGGTGCGTCAAGCCAATTGATCTTGACGATCACTCCTAAACCCTATGTATGCACCAGATTGAGGACCAACCTCCAAATACCCGAAACCGCGGGAATCAAGCTGTCGAGCCTCACTCGACAAAGGCAAATCTCCGGAGTATATCACAACCAAATGGCTACCAGCCCAAATTCACCAAAATCGAGTCTATACTGAGAGAGAATCGACACAACGCGCAGCGTGCTCGCGATCAATCCAAATCAATATTTCCTGTTTCGGTCTACCAGACGCCGGATCACCCAATGGCGAGGGGCTGGGCATGCGGAATATCCCTAGCAACGCAAGGACAGGAAACGGAGAAGTTGCGAGACTCGACGCATCGTGCGGTAAAGCAGGGAGGTGGAGTGAGGATTTTCGGTGCCAGCGCACTGTGCGGGGAAGGAACTGTCTCGGGTGCGATGCTGCTAGCTCGAGCTGAAGCAGTTCAATCTGGTTGGGATTATAACTGCGATTGAAATTGTTAGTATTCACAGTGGGAGAAAAGCCACACCGAAACAGAGATTTAAAAGAGACCATATGCACGCTGCACGGAGGTTTCCCCTGATATGACGCATGGAGCGGGGGCTGGACTCGGAATTGAAGGCCCACAGTGGACTAAATATACTATCTCTGCCTAAAGGGCAGCAATCGCTTAAGTGGCAAGGGCTTCTGTGTTGTCGATGCATGCACTAATCACATTGCGATGCCAATCCCAGTAATCTGGACAAGTTCATTGTCTACGTGGCGGCTCAAGAGCCGGGATCTATAAACAGGGATTGGCTAGTAAGCGACCAGCAATTCGGGTAGAATAGCAGCTAAGTGCCCGAGTCGGGCTAATCAAGCCAAACTTCGCTCGGCCACGCTGGCAACTTGGATGTTCCAGTCTACCTGGTGTATACAAATTTAAGGTAAATTAACTGCCGCTTCCATCCATGGATGCGGATTATTTTAATGTCACGTGATGCATATCATGGTATGAATTGGGCATCTCTGCAAAATAAGCAAGGAGTAGTGGCCTAAAGCATGCTGTTCTCACTAACAAAAGACTGGGAGTGTAGTCTTCTCCTCATTCCACTATACTATCGCTAGTTCATACACAAAGTCTTGCTATGATTAGACTTCCACATGTCCAAACCAAGCCTTCGGTTCTCTTAAACTTGATAAATCCAATCTTATAAAGAGGACTCTCATTTTGCAAATCTCCAGAGAAACATAGGCAATCACCGTGTTCCTTAACCCTTAAGAATATGGAGATGACGAAACGTAAGCTGATCAAAACAAATCTAACGAACTCTTCAGTCATTTATATATCTCACATCGTTCTAATCCTTTTCGTCGCTCGTCAACCTCACTGATTATTCCAAGAGACGTTTCGCTTTGTCGTGTTCTAGCAGTAGCCCAGGAGATGATGCGACAATGGCATCATGGCGCCTTCGTTTGCCTCTCCAGCAGCTCTGATCCTCAAGCGCCACGCCTCCCAATAACGGTCAAGGAAACGTTGACCTCTTGAGTCCTCAGACCAAAGCCGACGAGACCAGGGTCGACACTGATTACACGCACATCCAGTCCTCGACGCGCAGAGGCCGGTACCCATCTGATCAAGTTAATACTTCGGCCCAAGAGAAAGAGATCAGACGACTTTTAAGAAGCTCCTTCGTCTGACAAACAACAAAGAGCCTGAAAAACAGATGTCTTCTCGCTGTCGAGGATCTTGAAAGGAAAAAGATGTCAAATTGCGACAGATTCAACACAAAAAGAGAGTGCTCATGGGCGAAGATGGCTGCAGATGTCGTTATTATATATTTCCTAAATGTGATTATGGGGTTGAAAGAGAATGACAACCCGGCACTTGTGTCACGGACTGGACAGAGCCATGTGCTCGAGGCCGTTCTTGAAATGTTTCTATGCGCTCTAGCGTTACACCAAATCAATCCATGTGATTTCTTGTCTTTTTCTCCCTCCTTTTTATGATCAAGACATGAAGATTTACGCAGGCGATTTACCTGCAATTTGGTCAAAGGTCTGCGGTCTGCGCATAGGTGGCACCGTAGGTAAGTGAGCATCTATAATGTTCTGGTGGCTTAGGACGTTACGGGTGTCTGTCCTCAGGTTGACAACCAAAAGGCGGCAAAAATGATCACTAAAGCGGAAAGATGTGGTAAGTGTAAGCGACTTAACAGCTATTTTGGTACATAAAAAGCGGCAAAGTCGCTGCCCAAGTCCCCGGACAATTTAATATAAAAGCGCCTGAACCTTGCTAGCTCGGACTGCCACGTTGGCAGTGGCTGTGAGCTCGGACATTCCGCCTTAACCTCGGAAGGATTGCAGTCATGCTAGCAATGAACCTATATAGAAAGATTGCGATCAAGAGTAACAATGTGTGATTATCTAGGGATTGTATCACTGGATGGAAGTTAAATAGTTGTGATGTATGTAGTCATCGTGTGTAGAGGAAATAGTGAAGGATCCCAAGTCTACACCGCCAGAATACCAATGCTGATCATAATGCCATTCAAGTAAGAAGCAAAACTTAGAATGGCCGCCAAATATGTCATATTGTGGGTGATGTTCTGCCAGTAAATGTCCTGTTTATCCTTATCCACTAAACCGGATTTTCCCATGTACCACCTGTAACCTGCAATAACACCTTGTCATGCAAAAGTCTCTCTATCCACAAATGCAAATTATGTATCTATGCAACAAGAAAAGAAAAGAGCAAAAGAAAGGACCCTAGTCAATCAAGTCATCAATATCTTCGAATCCAACAAAAGCCCGCGACAGGAAAGCGCGCCAAGCAGTGTTGATTGGCTTCTTTTTATCGGTTGCAGACCAATCAGCTGCCCGTATTCTAGAGTCGCTGTGGCTGTCTGCGTCGGCTTCGTCCTCCTCGGCAATTCTAGCTGCGAGTTTGAAGTAGCTGCGCACTGTGAGGTCCTTCATCTGGTACACGTCATCATCTGTGCGATACGCGACCTCGAAGTCGATACGAGGGTCGTCACCTCGCTGGCCTGTCGCGACCTCGTGGTTGATCTGGGTCAGGTTTGCGAAGTATTGGGTGTAGGCCAGCCACGAAAACGCCTGGTTGGAGTATGCCGGGCCTGGGGGAGCGGTTCGCGATGGGGGTTCGGGGACTTTGAAGTTGGGCTTCTTTTTCTTGTCTTTTTTCTTTTTCTTTTGGACCTCTGGGGTGGAGGTGTCTGATTCAAATGTTTCATGTGCTGTGTAGTCAAGATCATCGGATGTAGTGTGAGTTTCGTAAGAGGTCAAATCAGCCCCAAATGCGACATTCTCGAGATCGGTGATATTGTATTCAACCACGCGGAGACTTGGGAAGTAGTTCGGTACTAGGCTGGGAGCGACCAGCGATACGCTGTATCGTTCCGCCCAGGGACCTCCAATCTTGTCGAGAAACTTGCGCTTCTTCTTATCTTTCTTATTGTGCTTTTTGCCCTTCTTCGCGGACGTGACGCCAGAATTATAGTTGCCAGACATGATCTCATCAAAGTTTTTGAAGACATCGGTCGGAGGAGAGGGCAAAGACGACCATTGGTCTCGGAGTGATTCGAGGTAGTTGGCCTTTGAGCGGATAGACGCCTTCCCGTCAGCATCAGAGGCAATTTTGACCTTGTTGCTGTCCTGAAGCATAAAGTGATCGATATTCATGTGACCGTAAAGACTGCCAACAACGACATCGCGATACTGATGCATCCAGAGAGTATACTTCTGCCAGCAAGTCTCATCCCAGTTCTTCTTCTCGCTCGAGCGAGCAGGGGGAACGTGGCCCATGAGGATGGCTTTCATGTTCCGGCTCCGGAGGATTTTCAACTGGACGCGTAGCCACTCCATGTGCTCATATCCAGGCTCGTCCTTGGCATTGCATCCATCGACCGCACTGTTGGAGTCGTAAAAGTACATGGTGTTCAGACTGATCACCGCCAGCCGACCGGGGACCACCTCAGAAGTGAACCAGCCGCCCTCTACAAAGGTATGACGCTGGTCCTCCGGAATGAACCCCTTCCATATCTCCGCAAAGCGCTTCGTCCACTTATTCGGACCCTCGTCGAAAATATTGTGGGGCATGATATCGTTGTTGCCAAAGGTCGGAATCACGGGGACCGATAACTTCGAGACAGCAGCCAAGGTATCCTCACTTTGTCCCTGGCTAAACAGCTCTATCCATTTTTGTGCCATAAATTTGTTCAGCTGTACAATCTCCTCGGCCGAGCGAGGCACTTTTTCGTCATTGTCGTGTCGGGCAGAATCGCCGGTCCAAATCACAAAATCAATGTTATCCTTCAAGTTGTCTTCGATCCAGCGGAAGGTTTCGTTCACCAGGGACAGGGGTGCATCGCAGTCGGTGCCCTCGGCTCCAAAGTATCCTGCGGGTCCAACACCATGGTGGCACGAGCGATCGATGGAGGTGCCGGGTTTGTAAAGGCGGTCGGGATGGAAGTCTGCTGGTAATTAGCATAACCAGTTACACAGGGGGAGAGCACGCGACACCAACGTACCTGTTATATGCAAAAATCGACCACTCAGTGGTTTGCGCGAAGCCAGCACCTGTCCTGCAGGCTCTGTTTCGCTCAAGGGCACCTGCTGACCTAGAGGAGTAGCAGAGATGGCGGCAGAGAGGCCCAGCAGCAAGAAAATTGACTGCATGAGTGCGTCCTCTGCACCTCAAGGCGTTGCATGAAAGTGGAAGAAATCCTTGGGGCAAAGTTGGGTCACGTCACTCAGCGGGTGTGGCAGCCGATCAAGTAGGCGCAGCCAATCAGAGCCCTGGAGGAGCCTAGTAAAATAAATCAAAGTCCGAAGCACTACACACACAAAAGTTGAAGTTGTTGAAGAGGGAGAATAAATTATACTCCTCTGAATCCAGTTAGCTCGAATTCCCCAGATCGACGTTGTCACGCGTCTGCTCGCGCTCTCCAATGAAACTCGCACGTGCGCCAAGCCTGGGGACCTTGAAAGGGCTATCCCGTGTGAAGTATACGTCTACAAAATCACATGGTTCACCTTACAGGATATAGTCCTTAGTATCATACAAAGTCAACATATAGTTTCCCTATCCATTACGCTACCCAATACACTCTCGCATCCCATATGTCACTCAATATGCATTTGTGGTATCTATCGAGGCTCTGACTTGGGTGTTCACTTCAGCCTGTGACTCCAAAATGCTGGCATAGACAACCCTCATGAAGTTAGGATCCCGGAAATCCGCGTCGAGTGGTTGGATAAACCAGCTACAATCACGGTTGAAACGAATAGCATTGCAGAATTACAAAAGCTCGGTCGTGGATTTATGGTATCAATCACACTCTTCAGCTGATGGAGAAACTCCTGCTACCACTCGACAAACTCGACGGTGGAGTGTCCTCATGCTCGGACTCATGGCAGCGCAGTTCGTTACGTTGAAGACTTGTGATGAGAAATAAGAATGGTTTGGCAGTATTAGTCGGGCTTGCTAGGTCCACGTTGGGACGGAGAGAAAGGGTTCATGCGAGAGAGGATACATTGATCGGTTGTGTTTACAATGCAGCTCCGAATACTGAACATCTGGCTGAAGTAAGGTAAGAAGATCCAATACACCTCATGGATGTAGCCACTTCATTACCAGGAGCATATGTCAACCCTCGTCGTTTGCGTCAGCATAGACAAACAGGCCTAATCCGGCAAATCCTAAAGGATTTAACAATGTCGCTTTCCCTGTCACTTATGATAAATCCCCTGCTTTATAACTTCCAGTACTTCTACTACGCTACGTCACCTTGTGAGCTTATCTTCACCGATCCTTCATATGCTACACTTTAGAGTCGATAAACAGCATCGATGACGCCAAAGATCTACATCGATATATGTATATAGACGAACAATGCAGATAAATGCCGGGGCTTGAGAATAAGGAACAGAGCAAGAGAATCTGCCTATTGGATATACTGAGCACGATATCGAGCCCAGGACCTGGCTGGCGTCCAATCTTGCTTGTGTGATGTAGATCTCAGCAGAAAAACCTTGTAAATAGCAACACCCGACATCTTAGTGTATCATATCGCCCAATCATTCACCCAGCAGGACTCCGCTGACGAGCGCCAAGGGTCGAGCGATCTGTATAAACCCTGTAGGGCGTAGGATACTTCAGAGCGCCGTGCCGATCAGCTATAAATGTCGCACATATTTGGTTGCCTCGTGCGATATATACTTGGCCTATATCACACTAGACCACATGGAGGGGCAAAAACAAAAAGTGACAGTGCAGTGATCAAATCCTGTTTCGGATGTTGCGATCGGCGTTGCCAGGGTGGAAGTGATGGCCTGAGGCAACATTCCTGGAATAGAAGAAAAACTCAAACGGAACATTCTTCATTTTTGACAGCGGATATTTGAAGTGTGAGATAGAAGTCTCAAGTCAGTCAATTGTCGACGCATTGGGGGGTTACATATACTTGGTCGACGTCATCTGCAGGCTCTGTGCGAAACGCCAAGAAGTGCAGACACGTCTTATCGTCTAACGGGGGGAGATCTTTCAATTTCTCGATTTCTTCTTTCTTCCCTCTACCTCACCTCACCAATCTCACCAACCTCCTCTCCCCTCCTCCCCTTGCGCATCGGCGCTCTGCAGAGTTGGCGATCCGTGAATCGCTGCATTGAGACGCGAAACCCCCCTTCCCCCTCATGGACTTCACGTTGCACCCGACGTTCGCGAAGTTTGAAACCCTTCTCCAAGCTCCCAAACTACGTCAGGAGGGGGACGATGAGGTTCGGCTTGGATAAACCTGGCGCGCTCCCACTCCTCGCCTTGATTGTGTTCTCGCTGCTCACATTGGTGCCATCGCTGTCGAATATTTACAACCTCAAGTTCGCCGACTTCAGCTTCTACCCCGGTACATCTCGCCGTATGTTTCTCTTTCGGCCCCAATTCGGATGACTAGATCTCGCTAACCCTGTTTCTCCAGAGGTCCCCCTTCTTCAAGATGGAGCTACCGAAATACCCCCGAAAGCACACTCCGTAAACGACCATCGGAAACCATGGACTCTCGCTGGGCCCCATCGATCGCGTGTGAACCTCCACTCGCGCACCTCGCGCACAGGAGGTGCCGCTGCAATTCCAGCTAGCGAGACGACGGCAGTGGCGAACAAAAGTCGAATTTCCTCGATCGCCCGCGAATCATCGTTCTCGTTTAGTCGGAGAGCCCGCGCATTCAGAACCTATTTCATCCAACAATTCGACGACTACCAATTCCTGGCCCCCTTCTCCAACCGCTCATCAGCGGCCTTCGCGAACGCATACCCGACCATCACCCTGAATGAAGCCACTCCCCCGACTCCCAATGTAGATCATACCTCCACGACATCCTCATCTAATCATTCAACCTCATACAATATGCACGAAACAGGGCTGCAGCTCCCTGTGTCCCTCCGGAAGGTGTGTCAGCAGGCCTGCCACACCGCAGTTGAGTTCGGAAAGCGATTGGCGCTTTCCGGGGCAGAGTATGCCAAATCCATATTCCACGTGGACGAACAGAAAGACGTCCCGACAACATTAATACGCCATCCCACCCCCTCTCCCGCCCATCCGGAAGACCAATCAAATACGCCCCCTGCCCTAGCTCAGCAAAAAGTTGGTGCTGAGGAAGCCACCGATGCTGCCGCTGGTCGGCACTCGCAGGAGCTCCATGGGAGCTGTATGGCTGTGGTGATTGGTCTTGTGGCGGGAATCATGTGGTTCTAGCACGGGCTGTTTTGGTTACTGCTATTTTCATCTATGTCCCTTGATATGTGTGATGATCTTTTTCTGTCTTAATGGGATGGCGTATACTGTCAGATATACACTTAGTTGGTGGCTCTGGTTTAGCCTCCGGTTGGATTCTATTAATCGAATTTACCATTTTCATCTACTCACTGTTCATACTTCCAAGGTTAACATTTGGCTCTAGTACTAGGCACGTAGATACAGGTTCGAAGAGAATCAGCGATAGCAGCAGGCACTTCCAATTGCTTCAATGCATGTCCCGTCTCAATAGCCTATCACATTAGCAAAGAGACAGACTGATCATTATCTACTGATTCGGGCTGCGGGTTTAAACCGAGCTCTCCAAGTTGCAAAGTTCCACGTCGCAGAGGCGGAGTTTGGAAGCTATCTCCTTCGTATCCCCGTTACTATCTCTTTGCTTCTTCTAACAGATTCCACACGACCATAACATCATAACGCGTCTTGACAGTGTAGAGAGTGATGACATGGCGCTAACCCGATATGGCAGCACAGCATCGACTAGTGGGGATTTCTAGGCACGCTGATTGGTCACTCCGAAGTATGCCTCCATTGCTTCCAAGAGCGAATATTGCCGTTAAGACCGACAGAAAAGATATAAAAGGGGGCATGTAGTGAGGATATTCTAGACAGCTCACACATCAATCAATCTTCCCACTCTTCTACAGTATCATCCCGTCTTGATCCATGATGTCCGGCAAACAACAGATCCTCCGCTCAGAGGTTATCCTCGAGAAATATGCCAAGTCCCTTGCCGGAAAAACAAGTATGAAAGCCAATCAATCATATACACGCAACATATCTAACTAGCCCCTGTCCCATTCTAGTCCTGATCACCGGCATCTCCAACGATTCCATCGCCGGCGAACTAGCAGTTCAACTGGCAACCGCCAATCCCAAACTCCTCATCCTTAGCGCGCGTGCCGAGTCAAAGGTGACCGGAGTGACAGAAAAGATCAAATCAATTAACCCAAATGTAGCTACACGCTACCTCAACATGGACCTCAGCGACCTTGCCGCTGTCCGGAGGGCTGTGGATGACATAGCCGATGTACCTACGATTGACCACCTCGTCTGTGTGGCTGGTGTCATGACCCCGCCATATGGCAAGACGAAGGATGGCATCGAGCAGCAATTGGCTGTTAACTATCTGGCGAACTTTCTACTTATCAAGTTGCTCTTGCCGAAGGTTCAGGCTGCTGGGCCTTCTTCGTCTGTTGTTGTTATGGCTTCATCGGCAGTCCGGGTGGGGAAGATGAATTTTGATGATTATAACTTCAGTGTGAGTGTAGTGCTCTCCTTCTTCCCAGTTTATTCGCCTTGTCTGATTCTAGTCTCTAATCCTTACGTTTGTCTCTATAGGATGGCGCGACCTATGACCCTATGGCGGCATACGGCCAATCGAACGCAGCAAGAGTGATGTTCATCAAGAAACTGGGCGAGAAGTTGAAGGCGCAGCAGATCCGTGCTTTCAGCGTTGACCCTGGAGGTAGTTCCAATATTCCTTGCCCTACTGTTGAGCATTCGCTGATATTTGTAGCCGTTATGACCGGATTGCAAAGATACTGTCCTCCCGAGTTTGAGCAGCAGGTTGCCGAATGGAAGAAGGCTGGGCGTATGATATCCTGTTTCCGTTGAGTGTTCAATTCTCATGCTAACTCGTTTTACTAGCCATGGTTGACATGGACGGGAATTCATTTGAAATTCCCCCGTGGACTACTACTTCTGAAGGTGCTGCTACTGTCATCACTGGCATGATAGATCCGACTATTGCGGGTTAGTATATATTCTCATTCACCTTTTGCATGCTTATACTGATCGGATTTCAGGGTATTCCGGCTCTTTCTTGAACCAGAACGCGGTTGCGGACAATGAATTGCACTCGCACATCACGGACGAGGGCAACTGGAAACAACTGTGGGATCTCAGCGAGAAACTGACTCAAGAGAAATTCACACTTTAAAATTGAATCTGGGTCGTTATGAAGGCTTATTAAAGTAGCTTATTACTCAGTCAACGAGCCCCTCAACTCGATCAAAGAACGAGAGCTTTTTCTCCGCGCTTCCTCCTCCAATAATTTGTAGATCTAACAATATCCGGACACTCCTCAACCATCCAACTCCACTTCCTTAGTAAATATTCCGATGCCTCATAAGCAGACGGATCCCACGCCTCACCCCAAATCCGAAGTCCAACTTCACTTGTCGATGCACAAACCCCATAAAGATCACCACAGAACTCATCCTCCTCACATAAATCCTCCCGAATCAAAAGTGCCTCTCGCAAAGATAATATCGGGATTATGTCAACCCAGGGGTGGTGGACGATTTCCTTTTGTGATTTAGACGGGACAAGGCTTGCTGGGAGGTGAAATGTTGGTTGGCCGACGATATTGAATTGAGATGCGATGTCTTCGTTTAGCAGTTCCATTGTCAGACCCATTATTTTGGCGTTGGCGAACATGGCGCGGAGGATATTGTATTGGGATACGCAGAGGGTTGCACTTGGAGAGATTGATTTTTGTGCAAGGCTTTGTAGGGCTCTTCTTCGGATGTCGTTTAGCTGTTTATACCGTTTTGCTAGATCGAATCCACTGAATGGTTTTTGTTCCTGATGTTTGATATGAGTTGTTGCGGGGCCAATGAGTTCATGACTTGGTTGATCATTGTCTAATTCGACGGGTGGACTGTTGTTTTTCGATGTATTTGCATGGTCGGTATAGATGACCCATTTCAAGTCTGTATCTCCCTGCTTTTTGAACTGGGCAGCACGTCTTTTTCCTGAAGTGCATCATTAGTATGGGGGCTGATAGTCAGCGGTAAGATGTGGCGATGAGACTTACTGCTTGCGCGTTGGTTGAGGCGATTCTGGATCCTCCGGCGGGCTGCAGGGTCCAAGCTCTCTGGAATGTCTGTAGTAATTTCTGGAGCTTCACTATTGAGGGAAGACATTTCAGCGGGGCGATTACAAGGATAAGTGGGAGTGAGAATGAAGTACGAGGTTGAAGGCAAGAGCTCGGAGTTAAGCAAAGTCCGCCCGTAGATCTTGGGCAAGTATAACGGAGGAAGGCATAACTTAACGGCCATGCAGCGCTTGTAACAATTTTCTATTCTGAATAACCAATTTTCATACAAATATACAAGTATTATTTGTTGTTTTTCAATCATGTCGGAAACAAGTTCAACCGGAATGACAGTCAGTCTATACAAATGCCATTCATATTCGTGACGTAGCTATAGTGGCCAATGTCACTTGATACATGAGACGCTGTTTCCCTGTCGGGAACAGATATCATTTATGTCAAATAATCTCCTACCACAGGCTGTTTATACATTTCTCGTTTATCAACCTCCCCAGCAAAATATGACACATGGCAACCTCCGACAGGTGCTTACCTGTGGCTGTAGGAAGAAACCAAAACCGCAATCGGATTCCGGAACCAAAGAACCCAAGGCACATGAAGGCCTTGAGACAGAGCAAATGAATGAAAGCTCTTATGCCAACTTGAGTGAGGTTGCTTCTCCATGTCCAGTCCGGCGCCCGTGTCAGGAGGATGCACGAAGAGAATCTCTAGACAACAACCTCGCGCAAACTCATTTGAAGCCTCAGCTCTCCAATAACTGATTTTGACTATTATAGTGGTTTTTAAGTTGGTTGGTCTTTATTCTTACCGTCACGAGATAATATTAATGACTGTATAGGGCGGTTCCAGGTGGTATACAAGGCATCATCCAAAAGGACAAGGGTCATCTCTATATGTAATAAGCTACTGCACCTTAAACCTTACAAATTGTTCATTAATCCTTTCCTCTGACGAACTATACAAAAGTTGGAGATCGCTTGGTTTATGATGTTTAAGTATTCCGGCTCGATGCATTTTCCGACTACGCTTGTGAGCACGATATGTCCATTGATTGTATTCTTAATAATGCCCGTTGAACCATTAGATAGACATCTAATCTAATATTTGGTTCAATCATGCCCAAAGGCTACTATGGGCCAAAACAAAGGAGTGGCTACTTCGTCCAGACCGAAGCATCATAGCCATCCATCAAGGCCGTATATTCCGTCCCAGCTGCAGCCCATCCTTTGATACCACCTGCAAGTACCAAGCTTTTGATTTCTGTATCATTCTTCTCCTTAAGATAATCGGCAAACCAGCCAGCCGCGCGGGTACCCCGGCCTGCAGAAGATCCTGCAAGAAATATACCATTTAGTTCGTCTCCCGGTATGACTGCTAGAAGATAGGAACTCTCACCACAATACCAAATCACAAATTTTGCACTGCTATTCGATACAAGGGAATATAATGTCGAAATGGTGGGGTATAAACTCTGGGCAGGCAGGTTCAGTGATCCTTGGATTGTGCCACCCTATACATCTGTCAATATGTGAAGCAGTGTCCCATACTTTCTCCAATGAATACCTCATAATCATTACGCCGTAGGTCAACAAGCACAAAGTCCTTGCCAGCTTGTTTACCCTCTCGAATCCATTGCAGGAACTCCTCTCGCGAGATGGAAGGTGCCACGCTCTTGGGAGCGGGAAAGGCTGCGTGCCACGGGGCTTCACTTGACATCTTGTGACTAAATCGGCCGGATTGAATAAGTGAAGCTGTTCAGACGACTGAAATCCAATACCCCGCCGAGACTGAACGTGAGTCCTACTTCTGATTGGCTGGCTTTTTTTTTGGGAGGTTAACTCCTGATGGGGAAGATCCGACCAATCAGCGGCCACCAGTGACATACGCATCTAGAAATTTTATACTTGCAATGCGCATATATATCAGTTTCGAATAACACTTTTTCGATAAGCGCCCCTTCACCATATACCCCCATATCATTTTATATATCAAATCTCAACATTCAATATGGCGTCCCCTCTACATACAGATCCTATACCCCCAGAAAACAACGCGCCCAAAACATGCGATATCGAAAAGCAACATGAAGTCCTCTATCCAAACGAACCCCAAGAAAAGAAATCAGCATTCTCAAGTCTCGGTCTCCTCGATCGATTCCTCGCACTATGGATTTTCCTGGCCATGGCAATCGGGATCATCCTGGGCAATTTTGTTCCAAATACAGGACCGGCCCTCCAAAAAGGAACGTTTGTGGGAGTGTCAATTCCCATTGGTGCGTTATACTTTCACCTACATGATCTTGATCTTTCCACACTAACATATCCCTCTTCAGCGGTCGGCCTTCTGATCATGATGTACCCCATCCTCTGCAAAGTCCGCTTTGAATCTTTACACCATGTATTCCGAGCGAAAGATATTTGGATCCAAATGGCCTTTAGCATAATCCTCAACTGGATCATTGCACCATTCCTCATGGTATGTCAAATAATATATCACAGCCAAACCCGTTCCTAACTCCCTTCTCTCTTGTTCTAGCTGGCCTTAGCCTGGGCTTTCCTGCCCGACGAACCAGAATTACGAGAAGGACTAATAGTAGTTGGTCTGGCACGATGCATCGCAATGGTAAGTTTCTCAATTTCCCAGCCGAATCCAATCCAGCAAAATCCAACAGTATATACTAATACCCTTTGTATAGGTCCTAGTCTGGACCGGCCTAGCAGGTGGCGACAATGAATACTGCGCAATCCTGGTAGCCCTCAACTCAATTCTCCAAATGGTCCTCTTCGCCCCAATGGGTCTATTCTTCATAAGTGTGATAAGCGGTGACCCCGTGACCTTCGAATACTCTACCGCAGCCAAAAGCGTGGCTGTCTTCCTCGGTATCCCACTCGGTGCAGCGATCCTCACGCGCTTCACGCTGCGCCGGATCTCGGCGACATGGTATGATAAGACATTTTTGAAGTGGCTTAGTCCGTGGTCGTTGATTGGACTTTTGTTCACTATTTTGGTTTTGTTTGCGTCGCAGGGTCGGCATGTTGTGCATCAGATTGTTTCTGTTGTGAGAGTTGCTGCTCCCTTGATTGTTTATTTCCTTGTTATCTTTTTTGCGACGCTTTTTGTTACTTATCGGCTTGGGTTTGGGTATCGGCTTTCGACTGTGCAGAGTTTTACGGCTGCTAGTAATAACTTTGAGTTGGCTATTGCTGTTGCGGTAGCGGTGTTTGGGGCGGATAGTAATCAGGCTCTTGCTGCTACTGTTGGACCCCTTATCGAGGTGCCGGTTTTGCTGGGATTGGTTTATGCTGTTAAGTATATTGCGAAGCGAGCTGGGTGGAAGGATTGAATTTGGCTGGAAAGGCTGAGCAGGTGTCGAGATGTCAGTTAATACCCACTATGCATAATGCCAGATGAGATTTGATCATTTTCCATTGATATTAGTTCGGCTTTTGGCCTAGAAGTGATGATAAATATAGAGAAATGGATACAGTTGAAGCGAGATCCCCACCTAAAACTTAAAATTGCTGTCCATCTGGTCGTCATCATGCTAGCAAAAATGAGCCGTAGATCACTAAGTGTTCTGTGCCTTAGCCGGGGCCCAGCCATCCAGATCGGTAGGCAGACTTTCCAGCCAGGCGAAAAAGTTCTTTCGTCCCGTGCTGTTGTTGCTAGACAAAGCCTCCTTGGATGAGGCTTCGCCTTGAAGCCCGAGTCGGTCGTAGAGCCTCTTCCAAACATGCTGACCAACGGAAATCCTCACATCTGAGAAAATGGTTGGGCTCTGCGCCACGGTCCCGCTCCCGATCTGACTCTTCAACAAATCGAGGACTTCACGGCAGCGTCGAGTTCTTCCAGAAAGCTCGTCCGTCTGCTGAGAGGATTCCTCGTAGTTACGAAGGAGTATATCGGCTTGGCGTAGTTGCTCGTTCATGCTGGAAGCCGACTTACTCGCACTACCCCCCTTTAGGATGAAAGGGATTGCAAGACAAGCAATCAATATCAGAGCCGAAGTGTAGATGTAATCCAGACATTCGTAGGAGGATGTGGTGATTCTCAGAGTGTCATCGTTGCCCTTGCCAATACCTTTCCCATGGAGATCCGTCAGGGTTTTGATGATATCTTGTGCTGCGGCAAGGCATTTCAGGGTCGAATCACGGACAATACCAAGGATAGCAGGCGAATCGACCGAGTCGGCCTCTTTGCCAGCCAGAATGTGCGGGCCGGATGCGTATGCACGAGAAGTGTCGGATGCGCATGAACATGTATGGGAAAGGCGTAGACAGAAGATCAGAAACGGGCGGAAAGCTCGAAGTCGAATAAACATATATCGCAGACGAATGAGAACGCGAAGACGACGAATAGCAAAGTCACTCTCCATTGACAGAGTGATTTCCGTTCCATCCCAGTGTAGGTTAGTAGGAAGAGCTTCCTTCCACTGTAAAAGCTTGCCGTCAAGCTCGAAAAGGTCACAGAGGTCTGCCGTAAACAATGATCGAAAAGGACATATGTCGATACGCAAACGCAGGTGCTCATCGTTGCATAAGATATCTTCCATGTGTCCGTAAAGCGAGATAGAAGCATTGAAGAAAGAAGAGATCGCAGCAAGCTGCGTCTGGCTTATCTTCGATCCCAATGGAATAGGAGTTGGCTTTGGCACCGGGTAACGTGTCTCCAGGGATTGCCAGTTCATGCCCATCTGCGAGGCCAAGCTAAGTCTCATCATCCAAAGGGAATGCCATAACACCCGGACGCGCTGCTGGGAGGTGCTGTCGACGACAAGAGGGCCACCAGCCACGGTTTGGATCCCGTTGGCCTCTGCAAGTCCAAGGGCCAAGGACAGAACACTCCAGGCCTTGCTGAGATTTCCAATCATCTGGAGATACAGAACTTGAAGAATTCGTCGCTGAATGCCAAGAATCGAGTTTTCGTTGAGTTCGTCCGAGTTGATCTCAACTTCAGCACCCTTGTACCATTCATGAGCTTGCCAGTGAACACGGTCTCGAGACTGCAGAGCAGCTAGGGCAAAGCAAAGACCCAGTGTTGGATCAACCCCGCGAAACGCGAAGGTACCATGCAGCGAGGTCATTCTCAGCAACCGGTCCAGATCGTCGAGATCGAAGATGGGCAAGAGAGGAGCAACATGCTCCATGAAGATTTTGATCAGTTTCATTGGAACGTCAGGTTTGAGTTGAGGGGAGCGGTGTTGTTGTTGTGGTTGGAGTGAGGATTGTCTGGATGAAAGAAGGTCCTTGATAGAGGACGACATATTGGAAGTGGGAGCAGACTGGGGATCTTTCAAAGTGGTGGCAGATGGTGTGGACAGTGGTGAAGCTGAAGAATTTGCGAGATCTTTGTGAAGCTGAGTGGAATGAACACTGGAGAAAGGAGCGGAGGGTTGGGAGGTTTTGGAAGAAGAAGGCGCGGCCTTTTTCTTGGATAAGGCCGGTTCTTCTGATTTCTTGAACGCCATCAAATCGGGCACGGTGATCTCTTTATCCGGATCAATAAACTCTATAATCGTCTTGTGTGTTGCCCGACTCAAAGCCCGTTTGTCCTCAAGGGCATTTGTGACCATGTTCATCAGGTATGTTCTGGTTGGGACATGGTTGCTCACACCGTAGGCAGCAGGGTCTTGGAGGATCCGCTGCAGACGGCGAAGGTGTAAAAAGTTATATGACGTGGTCACGCACATAGCGGAGTGAGATTCTTCGACCGCAATGATCCGCTCAAGGTCTTTCCTGTCTGCTTCGTCAACCATAGGAGCAGTCAGAAACAGCTCCCAACGACTCAAAACAGCCCTTGAGCATCGGCCGCCCTTTTCCATCCTGATAGCAGCAAGCTCCATAAGTTCATCTTGCTCGAGCCACTGTTCCTTTTCTTCGTCGCTACAGGAGACAAGTTTTCGCTTCTTTTTGGCTTCGATCAGCAGTCCAATGATGCTTCTTAGGTTATCGGCCGTGATATTGCGATGGTTTGATCTCTGAACATTGATATCATTGATCAATTGGCACCGAAGTTCTGTTTCATTATTTGTGGTCAACTTCGTGCGCTTGGTGGATGGTTTCTGGGCTGTTTTTGTTGATTGGAAAGGACTTGAAACATCTCGGGAGCCGCCATTGCCATTTCGAATGGTATCAGGGCTATCATCAGCTCGTTGACGCTTCCCCGTGGGCTTAGGATCAGGGGAGCTGGACCGGATCAAAACCGCGGAGTCAGGCGATGTTATTGTTCTTGGTCGGGCATCTACCTTTGGGATGCTACTTTGGCTAATGTCATTAGTTAATAGAAATTCCTCAATAGCAGAGGCATAACTCACCTGTTGCTGGTAGGAGGATATGAGCAGTTGCGTCCTAGTTTCCAGCAACTTCCACATGCTATATAAATGGTTAATTATTGACATTTCAAACGGGATGTAGCATTTACCTGGCTTCGATCGGTCACAGCGTGTGTGCTTCGATTTGCATAGGACACACGGGGGTCCCAATGGATTCATCGAGGCGGTTGATCCAGTTGATGAAACAGCCGATGATGATGTTGTCGTTGCCTCAACACTGGCGAGTGTGTTTTCAGCCATTGGCAATAATTCTCCTTTGGATGTGCTCATAAGAGATCACGGGGTCTGTATTTGTGATGTTAGTGGTGAATTTGGTTGGATTCATGCGCATGTCGCGACAGCACCGGAATACAACAGATCATGACCTTCCCGTGGATGACAATTGCACCACTAGTAGTTACGATTTGCCGCAAGCTAGTCACTCTGAGGTAGAAATGGTGGGAGTCTTTTGCTACCTGGCTGCATGATCGTCAGCTATGCCCAGGGAGGCCGACGCGTGCGCGCCCGGCTAAGAGGAACACCAAAACGGGGATCGCCATTGCGCGAGCAGTCATGATTGTAATCGGCTCAAACTCACCGGATATACCGAGAATATAGTACTCTTAATCGCTTCACCGACTTGAAATGGATGAAAGAAGTCGCGGGCGCGGGGTGGATGGATGATGTTAAGAAGAAAATAGAACGTCAGTAAGTCAGCGTCGAGCTTTACGAACAATGCAAAACTCGGAAACTCCAGAAAACAACTCAAACAAAGCGAGGTGATTACCCCGGGTCTCAAGATACTGGTAGATCCAAGCGTGCTGCTTTTTGTCGTTGCTTTACCGCCTCCTGATCAGGCATCTTATGCCTTCATCCTACGCTCTGCTGCACGGCTTGTGCCCATACTTAAACAGTCCATCTTACCATGTTCCATTATCTCTTATTCTGTCCCTCAAAGAATGAAGGCAAATCCGCTGGAGAAAAAGGCGATCTGAATCCCATGGCATAAGTATATATTGAGGGGCTCGGTTGCGACAGACAACATCAGAACAACGACAATGCTTGCAGTGTGATATAATGACGTGAATGGATGTATCGAGACAGTTTCAAGTCCATAATCTAGATACTCATCACGGCGAAGAAGTTCATTGAGCTTCGTGTACTCAATGCAGGATTACGGATCTACCTGTGGCCCAGCCACATAGGTAAATGTATTACATTTGAGAAATGAACTTCTAGCGAAAGCAGAAAAGTATTGTGATGGTACAGAGGCTCGCCAGGAGCCATATGCTTAGATGATTTATACCAGGGAATTCGAGCGACATGCGCCTTTATCCAGGCGGCGCGCTTCCCGGGGAGACTATAGCGGAACGACAATGCGATTCCCAGTGTCATGGCCAGTATTCCACTGCGTTCAGGAATACTGCTTCTCCGCCTCCTCAACAGACCGCTCAACTTCCTGCTCCGTCCATCGATGGAACAGTTTCCTAGCATCAGACAGATCAGCCGCCTTCGGCAAGCCATCGTTCACAGACTGGACATGTAGGACGGGCACATCGAACTCGTAAACATCCTTCCATTGCTTATTCCCCGAGTCCATAATATCCTGCTCGACGTACTCGAAGGATCGACGTTTCTGGAGCTGAAGTACGGTGTTTTTGGCGGTGTCGCATAGGCCACAGCCTGCGCGAGTGAAAAGCGTCAGACGAGCTGAGGTGAGGAGGGCCCGTGTAGGAAACATGACGAAAGCAAAACGACAAGTGACAAAGCGACAACAGAAAGCAAGATGTACCCCGAATCGAGGCGTGTCGCGACGGCGGTCAGACGTTCTCCGCGATGGAACATTCGAGCTTCCCCGCTAAACCCCGTTAGGCAACCTGCGCCATTACCACAATTTCCGTGTCTCGACATTCTTCATCTGCTGTACATCATGGCTGGCAAGTGTGTCCACAAAGCGTGTGGGAAGACCTTCTCCGACCCCGAGGAGGAGTGCGTGTATCATCCCGGACCCCCAGTGTTCCACGAGGGGCAGAAAGGTAAGTTAAGTACCTTGGAGGAGCTCCAGATCCGTGCCCCTCGCTTTACTTGAGAGAGGCATTACATCCGCGCTCTGATATACCAAATCTCTCTACTCTTTACCCGGTACCCCTGCTAATTTCTCAGGCTGGAAATGCTGCAAGCCCCGCGTCCTCACCTTTGAGGAATTCCTCGCTATCCCGCCGTGCACAACCGGCAAGCATTCCACCGTCGACGATACCCCGGCGCCTGAGCCTGAGCCCGAGGCCGAGGAAGCTGCCGCTGCCCCTCCCGTCGCCGTCGAGAAGAAGTCCGAACGGCCGCCCGTTGCTATCCCCGCTACCATCCCCACGACGCCCCCCGCGAAGCCGGTCACCGAGGAGCCTGAGTCGGATGATCCTGACGTGGAGATCCCGGCTAATGCGACATGTCGTCGCAGAGGCTGTGGTGCCTCCTACACTGGCTCAACCGCTCGTGATGAGGAGAAGTGCACCCACCACCCCGGCCAGCCAATCTTCCACGAGGGCAGCAAGGGTTGGTCCTGCTGCAAGCGCCGCGTCCTCGAGTTCGACGAGTTCCTGAGGATCCCCGGCTGCACAGAGAAGACGAGGCACATGTTTGTGGGCAAGGTCAAGGGCTCCAGCGAAGAGAAGGTGGAATCTGTCAGGTGCGTACTCCATACAGACCGGCGAACTGGCTATACCATGCCTCATTCCTCTTGCCAGCATCAAACTGACCAGGTTTATCCATCTACAGGAACGATTTCTACCAAACTCCCACCGCCGTCAACGTCTCCGTCTACTTCAAGAAGATCGACAAGGAGCGTGCTCGCGTCGAGTTCGCCTCCGATTCGATTGTCTTGGACCTGCCTACGACCGACAACAAGCGCTTCCAGGATACATACAGTCTATTTGCGGCCATCGATCCCGAGAAGTCGAGCTTCCGCGTGCTGGGCACCAAGTTGGAGTTGACCTTGGTCAAGGCTGATGGTACTAGCTGGCCTGTGTTGCGCAGCGATGACAAGTGGACTGGGCAGCGTATCCAGATTGGAAATGCTGGACGGGCATGAATGACTGCAGTTATGATATGCCATTTTATGATAAAAATTTAAATGGATTGACGGTGATGACAATTGACGCCCTCAAAACTGAGTACATGTAGCCTGTAGCTTCAATGCGACGTAGTGGAAGGAAGTTCAAGAGTTCAAGAGCTTGAGGCTCTGTTGACGAACCCGTGGATATCTTCGCAAGAAACCAACTACACATGGTTCTTAACCAGACGACGGTTCAAAGCTTATCAGCCACAAGACTTGAAGCTAAGATGCAACATCGCAACAGTGCATGCACCCACTACTCCGTACCAATTAAATGGAATTCAACTACAATCCGTCCAGAGACAGCAACTCACACGAGTTCAAAAGGTATGTGACGTCCTCTCCACAGCTAAAACCCATGGAGCATTCCCGAAGGAAACCCTAGCATAGCCATAAAGTGATTGGGAAAAAGAGAGACGCCTTTACTCTCCAGGGCCGGGAACGGAAGAAAACCCACGCAGGCCGAAGCCATCGGATAACCCTCAGCAAGCCATATTTTATGGAGCCCCGTTGTAATTTACTATAAGTATAGTAAACCACTACTGATGATGGAGAGAAAAGAAAAAAGATGAAAGGCGCGGCAGAGCTGGCCCTTTTTATGCTGTCGAGATTATTTGGCGCTAGTTCTGATTGGGTCTCGGTGTCTGGCAGCAGAAATATTTTTCCGTTTTTGTGACAAATACTGTGGGTCTGCACCCGAAGCGGAAATAGGGCTTAGGGCTTATAACATACACGTGCGCAGTCTCTTTTCATGTGACAAGAGGGCAGGTTCGCTTGGTACCAGGTCAATAAACATAGAAAGGGCTGCACAGGTACATGTTGACGTTGAATTCGCCACCAAATAATGTGAATGCAAGCATCTAGCTGCAAATAGGCATATCCCGCCACCACAAAATATCCCAAAACTTAATACTGTAGACAGGTGGTACATTCACCCAGCAAGAATGAAGTACCTTGGGCCCCTGTAGAAGCCCATCTTCCAATCATGGGTCGGGAGCACGAGACCTCCCCTCCTGTCTCATTAACCTCCCCGCCGTCGACATAGCGTTCTTTCATATCGCCCCTGACTTTTTATTAATACCCTAATACATAATCCGCCGTTACGCCCAAAATCTGCTCTTCACTGTCCCCCTCTGGTCTTGCGATTGTTCCAACTTTGGCTACGGTCACATTTTTACTGATCTGAAGGCGCTGCCTGTGAAGCTGCACTTCGATAGAACACCTCACAGCATCCCGAAACACCCCCTTTTCCAACCTCCGCCCTCTACTCCGCCAGCATGGGCTCGACAGAGACTCAGACTGACCTCACGCCGGATTTCCGCTATATCCCCCTCTCCTACAGCCATGCCGACTCCCAGGCCTCAGCCCTACGGTTGATCTTGACCCTCAACCCGGACTGGGAAGGCCCCGGCAACAACATTCAATTCGTGCGCTTCACCGACGGCATTACGAACACCGTGCGTCTCCCCTAGCGTCGCTTCCAGCAGACCGAACAAGAACCTCTAAAAACTATGGGACTAACACCCTCCAGCTCCTCAAAATCATCAACCCCAAGGCAGGCCTGACGGAGGAACAAATAGACAACGAGGCCGTACTGATGAGGGCATATGGAAACGGAACAGAGATCCTCATAGACCGCGAAAGTACGAGCAAAAACCCCCAACCCGCCGGACCACCACAGTCCAACAAAACTTCCCCCAACCTCCAAAAAAGCCCCTTGCGCCTCATATCCACTGCCCATTGCGACATTTGCTGAAGTAGAATCTATTCCTTAGGAGAAACCAAGTCCCACGCCCTGCTAGCCAGTCGCGGCCTAGCCCCACCCCTCCTCGCTCGTTTCAAGAACGGCCTGCTATACCGCTTCATCCGCGGCAAGCCCTGCGGCCACCTGGATCTAGTCTCCCCGCCCATCTGGCGTGGCGTCGCTCGCCGTCTGGCGCAGTGGCACGCCGTGCTACCCAGTAGCGGCGCGGCCCCAACTAAGGATGGCGAAGCGTCTGTTTCTGAGATTGCCCAGTCGCACGATGATGAGATCACTGTAATCCAGCCCCGCCGTGGTGGGCCCTCTATGTGGGCAGTTTTGCAGAAGTGGGTGCTGGCTCTGCCGGTTACTACGCCCGAGCAGCGTGCACGCCGGTTAAGTCTGCAGCAGGAGTTGCAGTGGGTTGTCGAGGTTCTCGATGATGGCAAGGGAATCGGTGAAGACGGGGTATGTGGCTCCACTCCTTGATGCGTGATTGCGATTGTTCGGGTGGATTGTGGCTAATATTTGGGGTTTCTAGCTTGTTTTCTCGCACTGCGACCTGCTCTGCGCCAACGTTATCGTTCTTCCTAGTGAGGATAACGCGCCCATTCCTGAAGACGGTATCGCGCCGGTCAACTTCATCGACTATGAATACGCGGTTCCTGCTCCTGCTGCCTTTGATATCTCTAACCACCTAGCTGAGTGGGGTGGTTATGACTGCGACTACAACATGATGCCGACGAAGTCTGTGCGTCGTCAGTTCCTTACTGAGTATACCAAGAGTTACTGCCAGCAGCGTGGCATCGATGCTGCATCGGAGGCTGAGATTGTTGACCGGTTGTATGAGGACGTTGACCGGTTCCGTGGTATTCCCGGTCTTTACTGGTGAGTCTGGACGACAGTTGAAAACAACTTGGAGGATAATATGTACTAATACCTATCACTAGGGGTGTTTGGGCGCTTATCCAAGCACAAATCTCCCAGATTGACTTCGACTACGCCAGTTACGCTGAGACCCGTCTTGGCGAGTACTTTGCCTGGAAGCGCGAGATCGACGGAAGCCGCAAACAGGCCGGTGAGGATATCCCCCTGCGCGAAGCTCGCTGGGCCCAAGAGGCGTAAATTCATTTTCGCTTGATCGCTATCCCCGTTCGTCTTCCTCCCAGGGAACTACGCCAATTATCAACAAGGCGTACGACTCCTGCGAAGATCCGTCAGGGTCACCACCCTTCCAAAATCCTGACAACCTTTATCCTTACAAAATACATATTTATTGGCACTCTGGGATTTCAACAATATTCTCAGAGTCCCACCAACACCTGAACCGAAATTCACCAACAGGAACGAAAAGCCATTGTCTCGGGTTCATAGATGGGAAGACCGAATCGATATGGTTTGGCGCGTGCATGTGGATGTGGGAATGGACGTGAATCACTGTGTTCTCTTGTAAATGCCAGTGAGAAACCCGAAAAGTTGAGATATCCGTGGATAGAATGGGTGGTTCATTTCTATGCATTGTGGTGGCCATTTTGCTAGACTTAAAGAGCTGTCTTCAACAAAGTCATAATAGGGCGTTTAAGGCTAAATTTATCGTTTTCTCCTTTTGTTATTTTCCATATATATCCCCCCGAAACTCCCACTGCATGTAACCTTAAGCTTTTGACAAGTGGGCCCATGAGGCTCTGTCCCAGCTACTTAAATCTCACTACTGCAAGTCAGATGCACGCAACCGTTCTCGGACCCATTCTGAACCCATTCATCCTTGATCATACCCACAGCTCGGAGTTTCTCACTCTTCCCCGCTGGGCCATGTATTTCCAAGACATATCCGGCACACCACCCGCCGAAACAACAACATCCTCAAATAAAGATAAAAGCTTCACAGCAGGATTGGCCTCCAACAACTCCTGCAACAGGACATCCATTTGATCCACAACTTCAACACTCCGACGCACGCGTTGCACCCAATGCGAAAGAGAAACCATATCCACCTCCTTGCAGGCAAACCCACCAAGCACCACCCCAGCAACAACAAACCCAATAACCTCCCACGCCGTAGGCCAGGGATTCAACAGATGAAAAATCCCAACAGTACCCCTCGCAGGTACTTGCTCATGGGCAAGATCAACCAAAACACCAACAAGTAAATCATCAGGCACCCAATCAATCGGTCCAAGAGTCGACTCGATATCATCCGGCAAAGCCCTAACATACAAACTCAACACAAGACTGGGGAAGGATTCATATTTGTTGCACAATCCATCCAAGCGAACCGCACCGGCAATCTGTCCAACTCTCACGAAGGAGGCGTCGATACCGCATTCCCGAGACGCGGCATCTAACAGCTTCTCAGCGATATATTTGCTATTCGCATACAAAGTCGGCGCGGGTTGTGTAGTCCTTACGACTCCCTCTGGTATCAGTCGAGAGTCGGGTTTTATGTCCCATAATCGACCAATTGACGAAAGGAAGAAGGGGTGTGGAGTGTTGCGGCTTGAAGCGATGAAGTTGATTAGGTTTGTTGCACTTTGGAGATCGGGTTGGAAGCCGCTTAAGGTGGTGTTGAAGTTTACGTTTTAGGCGTTGTGGATTATGATTGTTGTTGTGGCTTTAATGTAGCATAATGTGTCTGGATTCAGGCCAAAGTTTGATTGTGATAGGTCTGTTTGCCAGAATGTCACTCTGGATGAAGACAATTTGGAGGGGAGGTTGTAGAGGACTTTTTTCTTTTGTTGGATTGTTGTGGCGGTTGATTTGCGGTTTAGACAGTGTATGTGTCTCACGAAGGGATTTTTAAGAGTCTGCCGAGGATATAGGTGCCCAGTGTTCCTGTTCATCCGGTTAACAGGATGACGTGGGATGTCGACGTGGGATTTGGGGACTGTTTGGGACTTCGTTAGAGGAGGGACATTAGATGTGTCGACCTGATCAAGGAATTCCATCAAGATCACACTCCTCTCGGCAAGCTGTGCCTCTTTGAAAGCTGCACATCCAATCAGACCATCTCCAAAGAACCTTGGCCTTGTGCTTGTGGGTCGTAGTCTTGCAGCAATTTGGCTGTGCCTTAACAATGCTCTGGTCTGGCTACGGAGTAGCAAGATTGGATGGAGCACCTTTCAGAGCATTGTGATAGGATCATAGAAAAAGGTCAATAGTCCGCGATTCATGTACGTATTCAATGTGGAGTACGCCAGTGTTATTTATTTGTTCATTAACAGGATTATTATCACAATTTGTAGACTACCTGACGTATAGGGCCTGTGCTCATGATGCATCCGACCGATGCGTTGTATCTTAAGCCTCACCCCTGTTTTCCGGCTTACTCTCTGTTTGTTCTAGTTCTAATTTTCCTCACTAGTAGTTCATTTACCGAGTGCTCCTTCGCCTATATAGATCCTAGTTCAAACAGACGAACCGCCGCACTGTATTCTTCCCCTAGAAGACGTGGTCGCCTCTGGACCGGATGCAGATCAAAGAGTAATTCAAGTCTTAGAGTTCCCTTTCAGGCCCCTGAAAATTCTCGACGGTGTGTAATCTGAAAAAGGCTTGCTACTAGAAGAAGCATGACAGGGAGGCGTATCCAAACAGCCACAAAACATTTGGGATGCCTTCAATGCTATCGAAGAAAGGTGTGAATCGAATGAGCGTCGAATGAAACATTGTTCTCGCGACAAGCACTTTTTTTACGCCAATTCAGAGCCACGCGCCCCACATGATTGCGGCTCCAACTACTTCGACAAGCGGATCGAACATGAGATGGGCGTAGGGAGGCATACGCATGAGAAACATCGACTAAGAACCTAGGCGGATGCGGCTTGAAGCTAGAAAAACCACCTCTCTTGCTGGATTCTTGTTGACTTGGACCAAAAGAAGACAAGCGGGAACGCATTATCTTTGTTCCAAATTATCTTCACGTCTATTCAGACAGTGGTGCAACCGCAAGCTGAAAGCTGAGATAACAGGTGAAATCGACCACAAGCCCGGCCCCACTGGGCCTTCGTGGCGAGGATATGTCTCGATTCGAAAGCGGCCACAACGGTACGTTGACACCTGCTTAACTAGGTATTGTGTGGGAAGAAGCGGCTGCTGTGCTCAAAATTGTGGATGTTGCTCGAAGGCACGCAGTTTCGACAGTTCCAAGAGCCATGGTCATTATACAAGAATGCGCGGTTGTTTTCTCCAAGCTAGGAGGTCTCTCTCGAATGAAGAACAAGAGAAACTGATCCATACAAATGTCAACGGGAGGCAAAAGAAATCTGACATTGATGAGCTATGCGTATGTCTTGGGCTTATCCTTTTGGCTCGACTGAGATTTGATTATAGGTACTTGAAATCGTCGTATGATACCTTCGTAGGTAGTCGCCTAGTTGACTTACGTACGTATTTTCATTTCAAATATTTGTGCCATCATTGTTCGTTCGGCTGCTAGTACTGTACTAGGGTCATAAATTGACTACATATCCTAATGGAACTCGTTTTTAACTTATTGAATTTAATGGCGTTTTGGTTGAGATAAATACACTTAAAATTGGGAGGTAGGGGTAGCTGATCCACTCGGTTGTGTGATCCACTTGCATGTGAAATACGTTATCTAGGCATTGAAATGCACTAGACCTGGTCAGGAAGGGCCCCACACAATCTTACGCTTACCTGACCGAAAGAGAAGCCAAAGTAGGACGAAAACAATACATGAAACGAACACTCGCTTCGAGGCTTTCGTATAGAAACTGTCCAATACTTCATAGCACTGTATATACATTATGGCCCTTGTTGTACATGGATTGTGACTATTCTATGGAGTTGCCCCCAAACGTTCATCACTATCTCCAGTATAGTATTATGTTATTGATGGATTGTTCTGTGATATCTCAAACCACGAGAAAGTCACAATGGGAAGACCGATATTGCGTTCGGGCCATATCAATCCAAGACACGTAAGCTCCAGGAGTTTTCCACCAAGATTCCAGGAACGACAGAACACGCGCCCGGTCCAAAGTGCGGCTGAATTGCATCACCGAATGAAAACCGCCACGAATGAGGTTATGTGCTTCCGGGTTGCCTCGAAGTTCAGTTCCCGCCATAAACAGTGGCCAAACAAGATCTTGAGCAAAGAGGTCAATCCGCATCCCGGAAAGAGACTGTAAACATTTGAGGATCTCGTTGCGAGAGCTGTGTGCATTGAAGTCCCGGGTGGGTGGTTCACCCAGGGCTTGACAGCTGTAAATGAGAGTCGCGTGGTAGTACATCAGCACCACGAGCTGAAAGGTCCGTCGATCTTCTTCGGCATGAAAGTTGATGGTTTCAGCAAGATGAAGCATGCTGTATCTAGCGGAATTTATCTGCATGATAACAGCCGGAGTTGGCCCGGAATGATAGGGGAAGCTGTGTGACTGGGACCGAAACCTAAGACGCTCCAGTTGAGTGATTTCATCGATAACCCGGACAAAATCGGTGAATACCGCGTTTTCCTTGCTATGAGGAAACGGCTTGACGTCTTCGCTCGAGTCATCGAAAGTCGTTAAATTGGCCCACACCGATGCTTCATAGAATTCAATCATGAGGAATTCTTCAATGCTGGTCAGTTGTTTGTGAGGGTGTGATCTATTTTTTGCTGCCAGGATGACCTCCCTTGCAGCCGCAAGATGGACCCGCCATCCAGCCCCCTGTGGTTGCATGAATTCATTGTTGCAAAGAATGATCACAGATGCAAGCGTGAAGGCAGATGATGCGCTCACATCTGATCCCGAGGAAGACGACGCGGAAAGAGTTTTTAACTCCTTGGCGAGTAGAGCCAGCGATTTATTTTGGTACATTTTCGACATTTGGTGGTATGTTTGAGAACCGACATCATTCGAGTGGTACTCAGACGCCAGGTCATGAGCAGCAATAGCGAGAATAGAAGAGAGAACCGTCTCGGAACTTTCGGCCATAGGCAAAATCATACGACGCCACGCATTTTGTTGAGGAACCCACGCAAGTCGAGGGGCAACCCGTTCATTAAACCAAGAAACCAACTGCGACACGTGGAGTGGCCGAGACTGTGCTAGGCAAAGTTCAGAAAGGGGCGATGGTAGGAAGTGAGGCAGCGAGAGAGGCCCTGCATGTGATGTATACCGATGGCTGATTGAAATACTTTGAGTGTTACTATCATTTGTGGTTGTACTTAGTTGTGGCCAATGATGCGAGGACTGTGATGTAGCGTTGGGTGCGTTTGCTGCAGGAATCGATCTGCCCCGCAGATTGCCCCGGCTGGCGACCCCTTCGATCCATTTGAGCTTCAGCCCATAGCCCGGACATTCCAAATTACGTTTACTGCATTTGTAACACCCAGGAAGCCCCCGGTCGCACTTGATCCGTCGCCTTTGACAAGTTGGGCAATCTGCGCAAGTTAGAACCGCGAGCTAACCGACAGAAGGATCATTACCTTTTGTGGGTGGCTCTTTTGTAGGACGCTCGCACATTTGTCCATTAAACTAGCCAGAGCAGTGATAAGAAGGTCGTAGTGGGTTCAGGTACGAAGTCAGGTGATGCGAATGAAGTCTTTGCGGTTTGATACATGAAGTTGGTGAGACGCTAAGCCCAATTAGGCTGTTTGATTGAGATTTTGACCTGTGGTGGAGGTACGAGCGGATTGAGCCGCCCCACCCCTGGGCGAGCGGAAAGGCGTTTTATACATCAACGCAAGCCTGGCTTTTCTGAGCAAAACAATTTAAAGTCAGCTGACAAGATTGCTGGGAGTCACACTAGAATGTGCGTTATCAGTTGATTCAATCCTTCGAACCAAGAGCCAAAGTGAATGGTGCTATTTCCTGCTCCAGTCCTGTTCATTGCCTTCGGATCCCACAAATGCGAGAACCGATATTCTAAGGGATATCGGCGATATCTTTGAGGATCAGCAACGGCCATCGGTATGTGAACTGGTGACTCGAAACTTCTTAGTAATGTTCATATCATGCCGCGAAGGCGATGGGACAATACCTGCAATTGTCGTGTCCAGAAATACGGTTGTGAATTGAAATCTTCGTTGTATAATGACTTAAGATGATTCTGAGTTCAATAAGGTGCAGCATGAATAGTTCCGTGCATTGCTGATGAAACATATATTGAGAGGCCACCCTTCTGTCTGGAAAGAGACTACTGGACCCATCTAGAACTCTATCCTCCCCTCTTGGCTTCCTCATTGGGCATGGATCGCCCATCGCGACAATATCCGAGTGGATGTGACAATGTACGCAGGCCGAAGCAGGATTTCTAAGCCCACGTAACTTTCAAATACTTCGCTGAAGGCACGATTCGGCGTAACACCATATCATATTCCATACTTACCATGGATTCATTCAACCTGGAGCTCGTTGCTCCCTCTACGCACCATATCAGCAGTTTACGCGGTGAAAAAGGCGAACTCGCGACACTTTCTGGTCATGCCATTATATCAGCAGACTCAAATTTATCATTCCTACCCTGCCAATCAGTTCATGTTCGACTTATTCAAACTGTGAAATCTGCATACGACAAGAGCTGCTGCATGAAGGCCACAAATCGACGGTTTTCTTTTGAGAAAACACGCCTCTTTTGCCCTTCGTTCCTCAGCCCGACAGCCAACCCTTCCCAAGCTACACGTACGGATGAACAAGCTGTCGAAATTGCCTCGCTGCCTTGCTCCTTGGAAGGAACCCCTAAAGAACATTCAGGGAGGATCATTGCGAAATACTACTTTTCTTTGGAAGTCCCAACAATTATACCCACAACCACAGAGACGCCACTAGGGTCTGTTACATATAAGTTAATTGCTTCGGCTACAGCGGCAGATCACGAGCCTGCTACCAAGAGTCAATCTGTTAAACTCTGCCGTCAAGCCGCCTCGCAAACCTCCCCCTTGATCCGAACTGCGTTGGAATTTCCTCTCTCAAAGTTGATACAGGGAATGACCCTCACACAACAACCCACTCTAAGATCTGAACCAACACTTTCATTTACGGCTACTATCTCCCCTCGCTGGCAAACGTATCCAGGCCAGCGAACCACAGAGATTAAACATCTTGTGGTACGGGAACTTAGATGGTACGCGGAGGAAATAGTCAAGGTGATGAGCCAACCTGCTGATGGTTCAAGTAATAACTACTCCATTTGCAAGAGTGAAAAGGTCAGAAAGTTGTGTAAGGGCAATGTTAAGGGGTACTGGGGGTCTGATCAGAACCCCTACGTCAAGCAACCTACTACCATCACACAAGATGGAGACAAACATGTGCTTATACCCATTCAATTCGCCATAAGATATCCCAAACATGCGGCCGTGATTGATGACCTTGATTTGGAATCTTATGAGTTTGGTGCTGCCGACGATGTGTGCCCTCCACCCTATAGTCCCACTGACCAGGGGTTTCATATGGAAGCAAAGAGGGCAATCATCGTTCAGCATCAATTGAAGTTTGAAATCATTACAGGAGAAGATACATTTGCCATAAATACTGAAAAGCTGGTGGAAAGGAAGCCTCTGCGGACTACTGTTTGCCCTGCTTTCCCTTTTACTGTTTGTGGGTGTCTAGATAGTCAACAGAGGCAATAAACTGTTAGTTCATGAAAGTAATGGAGAATCAGGACGGCGTCTACTATGGATACCTTACGGTGCTATTGTTCGGCTTGACGTGACCGGTTTCATCGATGGGGAATGAGATGTGTACAGGAAAATATAGTCACTGGGGCACAAGCATCTTATATCAGAGCAGGCAGGGATTTTAATGACTTATTTTGGAAAATCAAAATAACGAAAACGGGGACAAGGCTCTGTATATAGAGATACTGGTGGAACCAGGAGGATCTCGCCTTGTTCGTTCTCGTATTCCTATCCGGAATTATCCAGGGGAACCCACCGCTAAACGAATATTAATTAGAAATTAGATCCAAGTTAACGCGGGACCAAGAAATCTCCTCTCCGGAAGATTTCTGCCGCCGCCACTCTACTGGGACCTTTGATTAAACCAGGAATTCAGAGGGTCCTGCGGGTAAGTATAAAAGGCAGTTGGATGTGTTTCAGATTTGGAAAGCAATTGGGGCGGCAAACAACAAATGGTAGATCCATACTCCTGACAGTCGGTCCCCTTCTGGACCAGTCCTGTCAGCGGTCACAGCACATTCAACGTCGACTCCATGGGGAAGGAGTGGTTGAGGTTGATTATTCTGAATCACAACTTGCAGTACTACATTCTGAACCCTCGTAAGCCCGCTCAGGGTCTGATTCATTGCTTCTCCAATGGTGGGCACGTGCGCCCCCAGACAACACTTCAATTTGATCTCTGTCGTCGTCAAATATGCGCATTGATGAGGCACCAGTATTCATGAGGAACTCAAGATTGGCTGTAGTCTGACATTGTATTTGTTGCCGCGGCAGCAGGATTTCAAATTTTTATCCAAATAAGATGTCCGAGCGTTGACGAGTATCTCTATGACACTGTTCGTGGATTACCGCTTATCCCATACATTTCTCATGGAAATGGATCACCGGTCCAGAGTGGTATAGTAGTCTCTGATGCGCTGATTCCTACGGAATGTACCGCTGTTTCTGATTGGGAGGCAGTCGATTTCAAGAGTTCTTACCATCAAATCCAAGGTTAAATCCAATTGGACCGCCACGGGATTCAAGGTGACTGAATGGTTTTACTGGCTCACATAGGTTGATATTCTTGTTAAAAGAGGTGCAAGCTCGCTTTAAATAGCCTACAGAATGTGGCCCATCGGTTTAATATTGGAAGTAGTTTTATGAGATTTTGCCTGTGTTACACGAAACTTGATATTTGACATGTAGTGATCAATGAATACAGCTTCAACTCTGAATACTTTCTTCTATTATTTTAACATTGTATGTGGTATCAAACACACCTGACATTCTCAAGTCGACATCGCTAACCGGGTAAAGCTGTCTATGACTCTCTGATGAGCCTTGAGGTTGCATATTAGCTATTTATCGCCATCTGCCCAGTTTGAGCAGACCACAAGGCTCGCATAAGATACAAGCGTTGTTGCAAATCGAAAAATGTCTGTGGTAAGTAGCCTTTTAAACAAAACAGGAATAATCTCATTGCCTTATCAAGCCATGTATAATAGAAGAACTCAGGTCAAAAGGCATCTTGAGAATGTGAAGCAAGCATGATTCGAGAATAGCCTCTTTTTGCACCGAAGAATTGCGGAAATAGCGTTTTCGATGTAATTCAATAAAATCGTTGAACTCCTTGTTATCTGCTTTCAGCTTGAGGTAGTTGGTGAGTTCTCTGCACAAAGTTTGTGCGTCGCCTGGGAGATAATTGTCGCTCCTGATGGACATTGACTGAACAAAGTACGGCACAAAGCCCCGTACTGTTTTGGCAAGATAGACTCTGTCATCAAGACTGCAAGGTGGACGGTCACTTCTGCCATATACTACCACTGTCCTGGAAAACTATTAGCGAGGAGAATATTAAAGGGTGGGGAGGTGGAAGTGAAAAGTAAGAACGACTCATACAGGTAAAGATAATCATCCTGTGGTCTTGGCGAAATACCGATTTGATCGCTAGATAGGAAACACACCAAATTAGCCAGAAATCTATTGGAAAGCTATTTGCTTCCAAATAACTTACGTAGAAAACTCCCCCATGATAATGGTGGGAATAGAAACATTTGTCAGAAGCCGCTCAGTAAATTCCCGAGCGGGAATAAACTTATTGGGTTGCCCATCAACCTGAGTACAATCTCCATTGCTGAAGGAATACGGCGTAGAAAAATTATCCGTGTTGTTGCCATATATACTATCCACTTCGTCAATACTCTCCGTGGAAAGAACCTTATACGACGTACATGTTGCCTAGCCCAGTGAAAACCACAATATTTGCTTCCACAGTCACCTGGTCCGAGGGAGGGCCAATTTCATGGTTTCCATGGATGAAAACATAACGCATGGAACCTTTCCCACCATATTTGTAAAGAAGCATCTCCAAAGAGGCTGGAATGAAACCCGAGAGGCGGAAGTTCACAAGGTGGGCGTGTCGGCTTTATCGAGATCGCAGTAATGTAACTGTACCTATTTGTACCCAGTGATGGGGGATAATGTAGCATGCTGATTTAGCGTGTGTCTTAGTGACTCCGCTCCGTCAATACGTGCAATACCCTCAATTCACTACAAATGTCGAAGAATACTGTCATCTTTCGATAGACCAGGAACAAATATATGATCAACGATCTGATCTACTTTGACGCGCCAATTGCAATGTTTTCTGCTCATTTTACCGTTTGTTTACCCTAAGCTTGGCACGGGCCGTATTACCGTATTACACGATACGGATAGTCATCATCTGGATTGGAGTTTAAATTCAAGTAAGCTTAAAAATAAGCTAAACTTCTAGTATGTGACTCTCTTGGACCTATACCTAACTTATAAATATGGTATTCAGCTGGCTAAACAAGGGAACGTGTGATACAGATATTGGCCGCTGCATTGACAGCAAACGTAAAATGAATATGGAATAGACCTATATTACTGCCTAAGGCCTATTCAGGCTTAGCGTGAGCTGACCGGGTCCAAATGCTAAGAATGGCGGTCCTTTTAATTGAGACCTACTTTCATGAGAAGAGATTGGCCGTGTAGAGGGATTGGGATGCGAGGCTGAGATTCATCTGAAAAAGGGGAACGAGGATTTCGGGCCAGCTTTACGCCAGACCTACGACCGGCCCCCACTAAGCGCTAAGAAGCCTGAATCCGCAGTTTTGACATGCAGTTAAATTATGGGCGGCTCTAATGAAACCACGTGTCGGCCAATAAGAGCCTTCGAATTCTTGTTTCTTCTCAATATTGTGGGTCGCGCAGCATTTGGGGTCAGGAAGTCCACCAGGCCATCGACAGTTGATGGGAATTGTTGTTTATTTACAGACATACTGATACTTGCACGGAAGAAACCAATCCACTGGAGTGTGTGAAATGGGCGAAGTGTAGCCATGGATTGAAATATATGTAGCTAGTTGCTTACCCACAATACAGCACTATACTTCTTGTGGGGTCATTTTTTGATCTATAAAGAGGTGGAACTATCTCAATATAGTATATAAAATTAGTCTATATGTCAAGAAAGTATCCTCACTTTCGACCTTCCGAGGATTAACCTCTTAGCGATCTCTGGAGTATTTATCTAGAGATATCGGTACGTGTACCAGGGATGGATGAAAGACAGATGCAAAAATCTTTTGGTATTTTGAAATCAAAACCATTAATCGTCTAAAATCATACAGGCAATAACCATCGAGGTCGTCATACCGCCAGTGGCAGTATAAGAATCTCTGGGTCTGTGTTCACCCCTACCCCGAGGCTCTAACACGCAGCTTCTTTCATACATGTCGTGTACATCAGGCGCAGATTGCAATTGGGTAACTAAATACTCCTGTATCTCCGGAACCATCTGTAGACAGTAGGGAGCTTGTTGAAAACGCCGGATTTCATGAACACTTGATGCAAGCATGGTACATTTGTGGAAATTGATGAGGCCTTCTTGTGTAACAGATGGGTTTCCATCTTCAATGAAAGTGAGATCCTTTAGGAAAAGACCTAGTTGAAAGGATGATTTGTTAGTTTGGTGAATTTGAAAACATACTCATGATCGAACTTACCAAGGAAGGGTATACATGGTGGGACCGTCATCCGTAACGTTTCACGGTAGGCATTATAATTCTGTGCGCTTGAGACCATGGCTTGTAAAGGCCTAAGAGCATCGCAGCTACGTTGAGTAACCATTGCCCATGTGCGGGCAAGTCGGTAGATTGGGGCGCTTTCCAGTCCTGACAAAATGGATATCACCGCGGAGTAGTTTCGCAGATTATAACATTCCTGTTAAGTCGGGCTTAGTATACATCAGTGCTTCTCTCCAAGGGAAGATTATGTCTTACAGTGGCCACATTGACCAGGTGCCCTATACATTGAGTTCTCTTTTTCAATTCGGATTCTGCGATTATGAGGGCGCCGACCCAGTTCGAGAGTTGATTAAAATATCGAATCAAGGCTTTAATATTTTGTGCCGGATAAAATGCATCAGGGCTCTCTTTCTTTTGCCATGTTTTATGTAAGAATTCACATGTCTGGAGTTTGCTGAACATGCACGCTTCCATAATAGTTAACTGGCGCGCAATTTCTTTAGCGTCAATTTTGATGAACTCGAGTTTGTTTAGCTTTCGAGGCAAGATCGGTTTCGGTGGCTTTGGAGTGGATGGATGAGATCTTTTCGAGTCGAGACCCGCAAGTCGGCGTTGGACAAGCTCAGCAAGTTGTTGCGCCGCACTTGTCTCTGTGACAGCACCATTCGCAAAAGCCTGCAGCTTTAGCAAATTTGGGTCATTAGGACCTTCCGGGCCGGTCCAGAAATGCTCCAGCCACTGTTTCAAAATGTTGATCACGCGGACTTGAACCAAAGGCTTCGTTCCATTTGACCATTCTGTCACCTGAGTTGGGTTAAAAGTGACGGGTGGTGGGCAGGCAAACCGCCGGATCAGGAGATCAATCAACGCTGGCGTTGATGTGAAGTATTCGTATGTGGTGAGGAATATCCGGTTGAAGGAGGCGTCAAGCCTGTCATGGCGAGTCAAGTTTTCGATGAGTGCTGTAAGAGTTCCAGCCTTGACAATCTCAGCTTCGCCGTTACTCTCGCAGACAAGCTTTTTCAGTTCTTCGATTTCTTCAATTTTGTCAGACTCAGAGAGCCTGAAGCCCATCTGCTGTTTTTTACCTGCCTGATACATTGCGAAATCCAAAGTACGTTATGTATCTGATTGTGTTTTATCCGGACGGTCGTGCACCCGTGTCATACGACAACGTCGCGGGTATCGCGACAGCCAAGGACGTGGATAACCTATGACTATCACAAGGTGAGCGCAAGGACCAAGTTCGGCAGGTGATGCAACATTGATGCTAGTGGGATGCTAACTGCCACCGAAGCCGTGCACTCGGCCCTAGCTCGCGAGTTGAGCCCCACGCGCTTAGAGCGGCGTTTCGATCAACTTTTCCCTGTCCGATATCGGGTTCGGTTTTGTCGTCATAATTGACTTTCGATCTGCACGTCTTTCTCTGGATTAAACTCGTAACTACTCGTAGGCTAGCGTAGAAAGATTCTGATCGCTCACATCAGTACTTTGGTGCCTGACGAGCCGCGTTAGCACCCACTTTTATTGGCCCCACGACAGCAATGCGTGTGATCCATTTATACTTCCGATGTTAGGAACGACTAGCAGAGGAATTTGATCATACACCGAGGGCGGGGGCAACCATGTTCAATGAAGTTGTGACATATTGCTATAATAAATGCAATTTCCATTTATACAAAAAGTGATTTTTAACTAAAACACCGTTCCCTTCACCTGCGGCTTCCTCTTGAGATCTATATCCTTGATCAGAATAGTCCAAGGGATTGCTAGAACCATGATCCCACACCCGACAGCAAGCAGTCTTAGCTCGGCGTAGGCATAGGCCTTCTGAATCGCTAACCTGATGGGGGTTCCAATAGGATAACTCGTTTGAGTTGTCAGATCTTCGTAAATGCTGTTTAGATCTGGTAGTGCCGATTCGGGGAGGTATCGGAGAAGAGCTTTCAGATATGTCTGCTGCCAGATGATTGTACTGATGGTGATGCCCGCGCTATCGCCAATGGTTCCAGCCACATTCAATAGAGCGAGGGCGGTAGCAATGTGCTGATGATCGACTGCGGCCAGGATTGCGAGTTGTTCAACGAGAATGAAGACTGAGCCACCGATGGCAAGGAAGATCTGGCACATCACCTGGTAGCCGACGTTACCATTCGGCGAGCGAAAATGGATCATTAATCCTTGTGCAAAAATGTAGAGTGGGATAGCAATGTACAAGGTCCATTTGTAGCGACCAACCATGCGTATAAACCAACCCAGAAGCAGTAAAAGCACCCCTGATACCATATCGAAAATGTTGTTGATATAGTTCGACGTAGTAATGGTGAGATCATTATTAACCTGCAGCCAGGAGGTAAAATAATAACTCCAGCAATAGTTGGAAAGCTGATAGGTCGCGTCAAGGAGAATCGCACCGATGATCGTACGGTTTGTGAGTAGACGCCACTCGAGCACGGGTACCGGGGCCAGCCATTTCTCCCAAATTGCAAAGAAGAATAGCATCGAAAATCCGACAACAAGCATAGCAACGATGTAACCCGATGCCCAACCATCAGGAGCGTAGGCAGCAATATCGAATGGAAGCTCAAAAAGTACGAGGCCAGCCGTGAAAATCAAGACGCCGAGCACTATCAATTTTGGGTTAGAATGTAATTCAATAGGGCCGAGACGGATTCAGGATTGAAGAAGTGACGATAGTAATACTCACGATCAAACTGTACAGTCCAATGCCAGATACTTTCCATCATCGTGCGACCACTTGGTCTCTTTATCCGGTATCCCTCTTTTTCAGCCTTATAAAGGTTGTACTTCAACATGATGTATAGAGGTGCAGCAACGATAGGCGTGATGATAGCCCAGGCACCAAAGCCCCATCTCCAGGAAATCTGGTAGTAAAACTGCTCCGCCACCTTTGGTCCTGCAAAAGCAGTGATGATGTATGGGGATGATGTAAACGCATATGCGAACGCACGATTCTGAAGTGTCGAAGCATCGGCAGTCACAACATCGATTGCGTACTCTGTGCCATAAAAACCGATATACCAGAAGACCTTAAACCCACGATGTCAGTATTCTTGACAATATGCACCCCGCGCATATCCCCCGTGCCTGGCGATCATCTGAAGACTTACATTGGCGGCACAGTAGGTCTCGAATGTTTGGCAAGTTGCCATGAGAATCAGTCCGATCGTAAGACAGATTACCATAAATAGAAAGCCCTCTGCGCGACCCCAGACATCCATCAGTTTTGCCATAGGAAGGTAGGTGGCAGCTGCAAAGGCGTCGCCGAGCGCGGTGGGGACACCCGAAAGCGAGTGTGATTGGAAGGTGCTCGTCACATATGGGTTCAGACTTGTGTTCATTGTTGCTTGGAATGCATTGACGAAGTATAAACACCAAATACTATTAGATTTGTGTTGTCAGGCCCTGTCCTGAAATTCATAACGGAAATGCGCCCAGTGATAGATACATACTTGACAAATACTGCAATCAGATAGCCTTTCGACCAACTAAGAGCCACAGCTTCAACGTCTTGAACACCGCGCTGGGCATGTTCATCGGGCGTCTGCTCGTGGGACGGCTCGGAATTGGTGTAGCTTAACGTGAGATCATCTTGGCCCGCAGGATTTACCTGGCTTTTGGTGTTAAGTATTGTGCTTGTCTCGAAGTTCTCCTGGGTTGCACCATTCGGCATGCGACGATATACCGTTCGCGCTCGACGGATTAGAGGGTGAACACGCATAGTGGCAGCCGATAGAGAAGTCATAACAGATCCAGACGTCACAAACGCTAAATATTAAAGCTCGCACAAGCGATGCGGATCTTTACCCAGATAGAACACATGTCCCGAAGTCGGATTCGTAGTGAAAAGCAACGAGCACTAAGAAAACGGAACGAGCTCGGGTGGCTGCGGCGGGTGTGCTTGTCTTGGTCTCGGGGGCCGCCTTGGCTGTGTTGACTGATTTGCTGAGCACACATGAGGATTCCCTGCCTAATTAGCAGATGGGCCCACTATTCCCTGCCGCTTTATGCGAGAGGTACTCAGACCCCCCTCCAGCTGGCAGAGTTAAGCGATGATCCTTGCTGGTGTGGTGGGTCAGTCAGCAATTGTGCTCGCGTTCGGAGCATACCTTGGGACGCTCTTAAACATGTGAACCCATGTTTACCCATTGGGAGCTGGAAAGGAAGAGAAAGCCATGATTCACAGAGAATGTCAAGGGTTATAGAGTTGAAGCTTAGCACATTAAAGGTCACACGAGCGGGAAAATCGGTCAAAAAAAACCATTGGAGTGGAGAGTAATGTTTGCGCTAGTCCACTAGCGTACTTTGATCCCAGTTATCAATCAGATAATCGCTAATCTCCGAGAACTTGCACGGCTTCGGCCTTGCGCGAATCCGCGCCACTTTCTCACTATATCGTAAACCGCATGTGATGTGTTTCACAATGACTGGCTTTTGTGAACCCAGGGTCTGAGCTTCATCCTGAGAATACTAGGTCTGTCATAATGTGCTCGGGATTTACGGTACCAATCAGACAGGGCCTTAGGCTATCCCGGGTCCAGAAAGTGGTGAAGATGTTCATCAGCACTTAGAGCCCACGCAGTTCACTGATGTGATGCGTATATTTAGCAACGTGTTTTGTACCGGTTGCCCACACCGTGCGGTAGAAGTCCTGGCCAATAGTGTGAAAGTTGGGAGTTACTCCTCCAAGCGGTGTTTCTGGTTATGAATGATCAATAAACCTGGGCGTTTGCTAGGGGAAGAAAGGTGTTTGAGAGCCTCAATTTTAGTACTCATTCTAGCATACTAGACACAATTGGTAGGGCATAGCTCCCATCGCCTATTGCTGGCCAGCTCCACCGCCCATCAAGTTAGGAATAAATCCCACTCCTATACTGTATAAAAAAGCAATACCGAGCCAAAACCCACGCCTCAACGCAATTATAGCATCCGTTTCCTTGTTTCCACTTTATTTATCAAGGGTCCCCCTAAGCCTGTTAACCCTTTGCAACAGGTCACGACTTCGAACCCATATGGACCGGAATGGCAATCCTAACACTGGGCTTCGGGGGTATTCTTCACATTTGACGAGCATATGTCAATTATTAAATCGCAGTCATTGAGGCTATTGCTGGATTGGGGGTAGGATTGAACTTCCAGTCACCTTGGATTACGCTTCAATCACACGTCGATCCGTCTGATTTTGCAACTGTAACTGCCACATTCGGCTTCACTCGCAATATCAGTATCCGTCGTCATCGGGGGGGGGGCCTACCAGAATTCTATGCAAAGTTCAAGGGTGCTAGTGTGGATGCCAGCGTGAATCTAGTGGCATCACTTCTTGTTGACCAGCAACATGCGGTTCGCGCCGCCTATATTCCCAGTCTTAGTTCGATGTGATTCTATATGCATGTGTTGCGGCTGTTGGTCTCCTATCTAGCCTTCTGTTGAGGAGAAGGCCCTAGATGAAGCAAGAGCATCGGAGCCGATTGCTCATATTCACGAGCTGCCAGAAACTGGTGATAATAAAGACATCTTTTTTCCTTTTTTGCCTGTCTTATTCCCCTCGTTTTGTCTTTCATGCATATTCTCCACCCCTACGGTGCTAAACATTGAAGAGAACGTCTACTGCGAAGGCTATTATAAGCGACGAGTGCGATGCACATTCTTATTGATATCGTTAGGACATATATAAACATATGGCTCATTCAACGAGCGCAAACATGGGCATGAGCCATAGTGTTGTATAAGGAATCAAGTGATTCTCAGTGTCATAGTACTTCGGCATAGCGCTTATTCGGGTGTCAGGGTTCAGCTCGCCTAGGTATTCAAAGGTCATGGCATTAGGAGGCCAATGGCATCCCGAAAGAAGAAACGCCTCAAGTTGGCTGCCCGTCCATCTGCTGCAGCCGATCTTGAATCGCGTCATGGTCATCATTTCCTTCATCGTCTTTATACTCCTGGAGCACGATACTCCGCATTACACGACGGGGCGCGCGACGGCCTGTGAATAGCTCGAATTGAGCAAATCCTTGTTCGGGAAGGACGTCAAGGCCGTCCAATGCTACCCATCCACGATGGGAGAGGGCGCGAGTTTGTTTCATGAGAGGGGTATTCAGGGGTTTGTATGCGAGCTATAAAAATGAGTTAGAGATCAGTTGTGGGGAATACATTAAAGTACTGTAGGGGTATGGAAACTTACTTCAATGATCACACCACCTGTCGGACTTTCTAACCACTGAGTAGGCATATGGAAGTTAGGTGCTGGCTGGCCGCCGATACTGTGAGCTGGGATACATGAGACGACAACGGTGGGTTGCTTGAAATCTGCAGGCCAGGGGTCGGATAGCGAAGCGACGATGCGGACAGTGGGACGGCCAGATCCGTGTGCTTCTTTGGGGTGGAGGTCTTGTCGGTTATAATGATGTGCCAGCTTCTCCGCGTTGGCGAGGGTGCGGTTGTGGATGAAGATGTTCTGCACGCCGAGATGAATCATGGAGTATATTGCAGCACGAGCCATTCCACCGGATCCGATGACAAGCCCAGTAGATGATGGCCGTACTGCGTTCGCAGGAGACAGACCCCGGCGAATACAGTTGCAAATACCAATCCAATCGGTGTTGTCACCATGTAGACCTTTGATAGGGCCTGCATGACTCTTTTCAAGGAACACTGATGATTCTTGCAGAAGGAGGTTGTTGGTGTCACTGAAATTTCGGATAGGAATGAGGGTATTGACGGCACCAATGGCCCGGGCGTGTGTAGACATTGAATGGAGCAGAGGAATGCACTCAGTCTTGTATGGAAGACTGACACTTGATCCGCCAAAGTATTGATTCTCCACTAGATCGTTCAAGCCACGTAAAGTAGGCGATTGGTGGATGGAATACTTGTGTGGCAAGCCACATATTTTGAATGCTGTGTTGTGCATCGCGGGGGACATACTGTATGTAGTGTTTGCACCAAAAACGAAGAACTGCATCGGATCTAACGCAAAGGAGCTGTAGAGTGCCTGCTGTGCTTCGCGGGCTGTGATATCTGAGCGTAGTTGAGTCGAGGGTTGAGTGGTCAAGGACGGGTGTGTGACAGGGGTGAGAATTGGATTGAAACAGCGAGACATGCGGCCGAGGGGACCTGTGTTGTAGGCAATTAAGGGAAGACCCGAAACGGGCAGACTTTGGACTCGATGACGGAAACGCTGCACTGCCAGATTGTCTTCTGCAGATTCAGCGGGCTGGAATAACCGCACAACATCACATCCCAGTCTTTTAGCCCGTTCGTAGACTTTCATATATTCATCTCCATCCCAGCCTCCCGGTAGAGGTTGAAAGGCTTCGAAGTGGCCAATGATTCTAGTTCGTCCGCTTGCGGAAATGATCTGGGAGATAATGTGATCATCACGGGAAAGGTCCACAGTTAGAAATCCCGTAGAGAGTCGCAGCCCATGGCGAACAAGGTTCAAATAAGTTTCGTCGGTGCAGCGTACAGGAGCGCGTGTGGGTGATGAGGTACCGCCAGGTGTGGTATAACTTTCAACGTGGTAAATCAAGGGGACGATGATGTTACGACGAATAGTCGCCACGGCTTGACTGATGTTGTCCGCGATATTTGAGTCAAGTTCCGGCTGAGCCGAAGGGTCAGCAACGTCGATTGCCAGCTCAAAAGCATCGGTAGTGAACTCTAGCTCTTCGATATCGATACCTTTCTCACCCAGCTTAGAGAGTGGAACAGAGACAGCGGATGTGTACGTCCGAGATTCCACAGGTAGCAACGAGAGAGGAAAAGAGGCATGCTGACTGTTCAGCTCGGCGATATCGCCAGTGATGAAGGCAATGAAGCGGAGGAAGTCCCGTTGCACTCGTTTTAGAGTCAAGAACGGGATGGGGGTATGTGATCGTGGTTCGATTTTATGAGCTTGGGAAGCATTGCTATTGTCCTTGTCCACGTTGTCGCTTCTGGTCTCCGAGAGATTGAAGAACTCGAGATTGGAACAACCTCGGTAGATCGGGCCGGATATCTCGAGAAAGTGGCGGACCTTCTGTGTATCCCAGGCCTTGAGGTAAGACTGAATGCTCTCCGGATCCCGAATGACGTGGATCACTGGATGTGTTTGGGCGTACTCCCTGAGAAGTCTTTGTCCGTTGCGCTCCATCGATCCGGCCCCACATGCAATCACACATCCCTCTTGGTTGTCCGCCAGCATTGACTCCATAACCCGTGCCTCTTGTTGTCGGTATACGAAACCATCATTCTCCTTCTTGAAGGTAGCACGGGAACATCCCACAATCTGTTGAAAGTAGCGGTCTGCATCGATCAAGCGCCGGCCGGAGGTCGCTGCGAGAATGACCGCCAGACTGGACTTGCCCGTCCCGCGGATTCCGATCAACACGATGGATGCCTTCTGACTGAAAGTACGATGGGTCTGGAGGTGACTATTCTCGAACATGACGGGCGATCCGCGATTGGAGTGAAGTTCCCGCAAGGAAGGCAGCGAATGCGAGTCGGATGCTTCTCGGTGCTCGCTTGATCGACGAGAGGGTGGCCGTGACATGGATGTGATGGACGAGGCGAGGCCACTGGGGCTATACTCTCGAGGATCATCCTGCAGCGCCTCGACCTCGTGCAGTTTGCGCTTCGGGGGGCGTGCTAGGATAGACATGGCGCAACGGGATGTCCGTGATCTGGAGTGGTATCAGGAACAGCAAGGGAAACCCATTACCACAGGGGAAGGGGGAACGGGAAAGAGAGGAATATAATGAAGGCGAAGCTAGATCGGAGAAATTGCGGAGTGAAGGGCCCTGGATATGGTAAGCGTCTGCCAGTTTTGCGGGGAGAAAGAAAGAATTACGAACTCGATACCATTACATAAGGCGGCACAGCCTTCTGCCGGCGGTTTCCTTTCCCCGCGGGGTCGGTACTTTGCGCTCAGATGCAGGCCAAAGCGAAAACGTGCGAATCGCGGCCCCGGGATATCATCGGTTCACTATCGAGTCAGTCGCAATTTTGAAGGCTCTCATTTCGAGCACTAATCATCCGAAAACACGCTGTGGTGGTCGAACGCCGCCTCCGGTCTGTACGGTATTACCTTTTGCGAGGCACTCACTGGCTCACCGCTAGCCGGGTATCCATCTTTCCCCAGAACAAACTTGCCATCACTGTCCACCTTCACCTGCACTTCACCTCCCGCGTTCCATTGCAAAGCCCTCGACTGCCTTCAATTTACGCTAGTGGGGCTAAATTCATGGCGTAGAGGCCGGCTTGTCCGTGCTGCCGCCGTCGGCAAAAGATTCATCTCGTCATACGATCTCTCTGCAGGAACATGCGACCGAACCATCCAGGTGGATCGCGACTTCAATCACCATGAGCGCCGAAACGCGCCAAGCCACTGGCGCTGGCAGCAAATCGAAACGACGAGGGACCGACCCCGAGGAAGATGGGAAGGCGATGGGCGAGCCGAAGCGTCAGCGGGTCTCACGGGCCTGTGACAGCTGCCGGTCGAAAAAGGACAAGTGCGATGGGATACAACCTGTATGCTCGACTTGTGCATCTCTCTGTCGTCCTTGTACATATAAAGCCAACCCGAAGAAAAGAGGCTTGCCCACGGGGTACATTCGATCCCTCGAGTTACTCTGGGGACTGGTGTTCCAAAGGATACAAGGCAGTGAGGATGTGATGCGTGCTCTAATGCGATCAATCAATCTTCCGAGTCACTTGGCTACCATGGGCAAGGAGGCGGAAGGCTCTGACACATTACTGTCTTCCTTCAAGAACAGCACTGTCCTCCGAGATATTGAGCGGATACTGGTGGTCCTGGAGCAGCCCGAAGAGGAAAGGGAGCGAAACCTCCAAGCCTACAGCGAAGGGGAAACACCTCTAGACGTCGATGGGATTCTTGCATCTGCTGAAGCTCAAGAGTGGCAGATGCCGGAAGGGATGGAAGCGCGTGAGACTCCGTTGGCAGGAGTGTCACCAACTCGAACAGCAATTGGCATTTCTCCCATAAATAACATCGGCGCTCGTCCTATGCGCGACTCCGGTGTTCAAACTACCCCAACCGATGATTTACCATCACCATCTTACACTCTCTCTTCAGCCCTCGACGACCCTCGATCGCTGATGAAAAGTCTGCTCCAACTTCCTTACAACGCATGGCCCCTTTTTGACGTCTACTTTTCTTACACACAATGCTGGTTCCCCATATTGGAAAAACACGATATCCTTCGAACCGCTTTCCAATACACCGAAGGCGATGTATACATGTCACGTTTTGCCCCGGGGTCTGGTGAACACGCGGCCTTATGGGCCGTCCTCACACTTGCATCTCTGCAGGATGCGTCGATTGCAGCGACCCGACAAGCGGACGAACAACCCAACGCCCACCTAAGCCCGTCACAAATGTACAATATTGCCCGACAACTCATCCCATCTGAAAGTGGCCCCCATGAAATCGGACATGTCCAAGCCTTGTTAATCCTGGGTCTGGTCAAATTTGGCCAGCAGGAATGGACTGGATCATGGATGCTTGTCGGTCAAGCCGTGCGAATCTCTCACACACTGGGCCTTGATCAGCCTTCTCATCCATCCTCTTCAAGAGCTCCTGATCAGGAGAAGCAACTTGGGCGAGCCAAACATGTCTTTCTTGGCTGCTTTGTCCTTGAGACTCTTATTGCTGAGCAAACTTCACAATGTCCTTCACTGAGAAAGGCAGACTTGGCGAGGGTAGGGTCTATCAACGAGGATGGACTCGAGGAGTGGCATCCGTGGGAAGATCAGACTGGGTTACGGCCTCCCCAGTCCTCTCGTGCTTCAATGCAGCGGGGACCGCTTCATGCACTCAGCACCTTCAACCGTCTCGTCAGTCTGGTGTCTATCTTAAACGATTTGTGCTGTTGCAAACATGACCCAACAATCTCTCGATCGCAACTTGAATCACTAGAACTGCACTTACAACGCTGGGCGACGGCTCTGCCCAAGAGCTATCGCGTGGATCTACAGAGTCGTCCTGTCAAGTTGGCGTCTCCACATATCTTCATTCTGGAAATCACTTATGAGAGTGTTGTGATCGCTTTAAGCTCCCAAATTGCCATTCGGGAAGCTGACCAGAACATCCCGGAACCACCACACAAAGCTCGTGCAGCAGAAAGTTCGAACCGGTTACTTCAGCTACTTCAACTTTACATGGATACATACAGCTTCTCAGCTACTGCACCGACCTTTGGCATGATGCTTCGATTCGGCCTTCCGCGATCTCTCTCCAGGGAGCTTCCCTCAGACCTCGATATGGGTCTTCGAAATAAGATCCATACTTTCTCCTCCCATCTTTCCGTATTATGGAACATGTCTGACCGACCGACTGCTGGTCAAACTATGCCACGCAGACCACAGGTCATGGGTACATCCCCTGCAGTTTCGCAACGAATGGAAATATCCATGAGCGCGGATATGGCTATGCCGTCCTCACTGTCAGTGGGAACTCCTTCACATCACCTCCCTCCCACAGACGGTCACCCGCCTTCAAGCAACGCACATCCCACGTCTGCTCCTGCAGACCCATTCATCTCTACACCTTGGCTCCGGGCCACACAGCACATCGAAGATGTGTCCCTTCTCCCTACGTCTACACCATCATTGAACACCGTCGGCGGTGGCCCAGAAATACCTTCACAACAGGGCCATCTGGACGGGACCCTCGTCAGTGGGCTTCGCCATCCTACCTCCGCTCCTACGAAGCCTCGCAATGGCACTGGCATGCTTCCTGATCTTTCTACCTCATATAACCCCACCGCACAATACCATCCAGCAGCATACCAAGATCCATCGATAGGTCTGGGTCCATTTGTTGACATGGATGGATACGGCCCGCCACGCAGGCAACGAATTGCCCCCGATCTCGATGCATTATTTGATGAGTTAGCATCGTTAGATGGTGCCGAGAAGTATGTCTCGCCTAGTCTTAAACTTACTACAATGATGACTGACTTAGCTACTTCACAGAGCCGATAATCAACCGGAGTTCATGCAGAACCTAGGTTTCGTCTCTGATGCTGGTATTCCTGAGCTTTACTCCTTCTCGGGTCAGATCGAGCCGTTCTTGCTCGCGCAGACCCAGCAAATACCAAGCAATGGAACTCCACCTGGTGTGCGGCGAGAGTCGCGGTCTTTGGGCATGTCAGGGATGTCCAAACGATGACGGCTTTCGGATATATCACGACATAGTCAAAATATTACTGGAAAACTTCTGCCGCTGGCCGGCCTGTCTGTCCTAAATCCGCTCACAACCGTGACTCGTTCATGTCGATTCTGAAGCATATTCTTTCGCTCGCCTGATAGAATCCGACGGAGCTACCCCAAGGTAGCGGACAGATCAACTATTTCAACAAATTACATAGTATCTTATTCAAACGATATGCCTACGGGAAGTATGTAACAATAGCAATACATCACTTGACTCAAATCATATTCATAAACCACAATTCACCAAAGAGTATATACGACCAAGCTTTCAACAAACTATCACACCCAACATCCAAATCACAGAGTAGCCTTAGCCTCCTTTTCCAACTCCTTGAAATTCAAACAAACATGCTCAACGGCAACCTTATACCCATAAACTCCAAGCCCAACAATAATCCCAGCAGCTTTATCACTAAAATAGGAATGATGCCTAAACGCCTCACGGGCATGGACATTGCTCACATGGAGCTCAATAAAAGGAATTGCAACACCGAGCAGGGCATCCCGGATCGCCACGGATGTATGCGTATATGCACCCGGGTTGATGATGATGCCGTCGACCTTGCCGCGGGCTGCTTGGATGCGGTCGACGATTGCGCCTTCGTGGTTTGATTGGAAGGATTCTAGGCTTGCGTTATGGCTGGCTGCCACGTCGCGGCTGTTGTTTTCAACGTCTGATAGTGTGGTGTGGCCGTAGATGTGTGGTTCGCGGGTGCCCAGGAGGTTTAGGTTTGGGCCGTTGATTAGGAGGATTGATTTGGGCATTTTGTGGTTGCTGTGGGAGTGAGGAGAGAAGGATTAGACTGGATTCAATTGGATTGAATGGTGTAGAATGAAGGGAAGTGGGATATGTGGTTAGAAATGTATAATATGTTCTTGGTTATTCGGTATAGACTTTTGCCTCTCCGCATTTTGCTCCGGGTGAGTGCTCTGCCGCGGAATTTTGGTGGGGAACTCGGAATATTGGAGGGGTCTTTGCTGTATTGTAATCTTTCGCCGTTAGTATTAGATTTGGTATCCGGATGATCTCATTTCTTCCTACAGTACGGAGTAATTGTGGCGATTGTGGGAGTGTGAGTGTGGGAGCTGAAGTCTGTACCCCGACTGCCCGGGTGTGTAGTGTTGGGAGCCACACTATATCACACATGAACATGACCGGAGCTGAGATTTGTCGGGGCCTCAGACCCCTTTCTATTTCGATCTGTTTCAACTATCCTTCCCCGTGTTACAAATCAGAATGCCGTTGAACTCCAGGCTATTCAAACGGCGGGGATAGAGTTGCGGAAACCTCAGCTATAATGTTCCACTTATATGGATCGCAATATAAGATGTACATAACTGCGGGATACCCTTTTTATTAACAGCTAAAGTAAAACAAACATCGGATCTTGGTCTAATCTAGTGGATAGGTCGCCATGTTTATACTCCAAGTCCCTCGCCCGGAGCCTGAGTGGAGAACTCTCGATAAGCCAACGGCTAGTGGCGGTTCCTTTGACCTTTCAATTTTCACCGGTTGACTCAATGAGCTTCCCCTCTCCCTTTCTCTCTTGAACACATATTCTATTCCCATTACTGAATAATATACCATCACACCATCACATCCACCATGACTGTAACCTTCTCCCAAGATGACTACGACGAGATATACGCCTTCGCAATCGACCTCGGCCGCAAGGCCGGCAAGATGCTCATGGAGCGCGTAGACCAGCGCATCGACAACGCAAATGGAGCCAGCCAAACATTTGAAGAGAAAGAGAATTCAGTGGACATCGTGACACAGACAGACGAAGGTATTCACCTACATGGGCGAGAAGACTGAGGGATATCAAGCTAACAGTCCCAGACGTCGAAGTATTCATTCGATCGGCTCTGCAAGCTAAATATCCCACTCACAAGTTAGTATATACAAACAAACAAAATAAACCAGAAACTAACAAACCGCAGATTCCTCGGCGAAGAGACATATGCCAAAGGCCAGTCGCGCGACTACCTAATCGACAATGATCCAACATGGTGCATCGACCCATTAGACGGTAAATCCCCAAACCACTCTCAAACAATCCAAACTAACCAAAAAAAGGAACCGTAAACTACACACATATTTTCCCAATGTTTTGTGTCTCAATCGGCTTCGTGGTAAACAACCGCCCAACAATCGGGGTAATCTACGCCCCCTTCACCGACCAACTATGGTCCGCTTGCCCAGGCCGAGGCGCCTGGCTAAACGAGACTCGCCGTCTGCCCCTAATCCACAACCCGATCCCGCCCATGCCGGCCAACGCGCCGTCGCAGTGTATCTTCTCCTGCGAGTGGGGCAAGGACCGCCGCGATATCCCCGATGGCAATATGCATCGCAAGATTGAGAGTTTTGTTAATATGGCTGCTGAATTGGGGAGTCGAAATGGGCGTGGTGGGATGGTGCATGGGATGCGCAGTTTGGGTAGTGCCACGCTTGATTTGGCGTACGTTGCTATGGGGTCTTTTGATATTTGGTGGGAGGGGGGTTGTTGGGAGTGGTGAGTTTTTCTTTCTTCCTATTCTTCCTTTTTCCTTTTTCGACAGAGCGTTCTTTGGCTGGGTGCCTTTTCTGATATAGTATAGGGATGTCGCTGCTGGTGTTGCTATTCTCTTGGAGGCTGGTGGTCTTATGACTACAGCTAATCCCCCTGAGAATGAGGCCACCTGTCCGATTGAGGATTTTAAGTTGGGAAGTCGGTTGTATCTAGCCATTAGGTATGTCTCTCCATTCCAACTTCTTTCCTTGGTTTACTGACCCCATTCTAGACCGGCTGGTCCTTCCGCTACCGAGACAGGCCGCGAGACACAAGAGCGCACAGTACGTGAAGTCTGGCGCCGGGTTCGCAACCTGGACTATTCACGACCAGGAGCGTAGACGCATTACAGCATAAGACAATGATTTACATGTTGAACATGTGATCAGTTATGATAGATCTTGAGTGACATATATTCCAGAATGGACGCCATGTATATACCTATGTAACAATGCAACTATTTCGCGCTGTATACAGTCATAAAAAAACAAACATTTCGACAGTCGAGAAAGTCATGGGAATCACAGACTGGACTTGTTCGTCGACCGTTCCGCAATAGACTTGTTAATGATATCCTTCACCTGCTGCACAAGGCCAGGAGTCCCAATAACGTCCTTGCCAGTCCACAAACGCGCCTGCTCAAGACCCTGCCAGATCAAAGCTTCAGAACCAAGAATAACCTTCCATCCACCAGTCGAAGCCAACTGAGCAATCTCAGTCCATGGGTTAGGGTGGTAGCACATCTCCAAAATAACACCCTGCTGCTTCTCCGCGTTGGCAGCAGTGCCCAAGAAAGCCTGGATGACCGCCCGGGTGTTTAACTCCTCGGCAGTCTTGGGAGGGTAGTTAGGAATACCAGAGACGATAGCAGCAGGTGCCTCAAGACGTGCAGCCTCAGCAGCATCCGTGACAGGGATAAGCGGCGCCTGGGCAGTCGGATCCGGGTTGCGAGCGCGGTCCTCTGCGAGGATGGCGGCGACTTCGTCAGCATCACGGTTGACGACATAGATCGCGCTGGAGCCGAGCCAGCGGCGCATAACGTAGATAGCCGTGCGGGCAGTGCCACCACCGCCGATGATGAGGGCCGGCCGGCCGCGGAAGCGGGAGGCGTCCGGGGCGTTTTGGATTAGGGCTTCGCGGATGCCGTCGCAGTCGGTGTTTGTGCCGACGTACTGGCGTTGGCCGGTTGCCGGGTCGTTCCGCAGGAAGATAGTGTTGCAGGCGCCCGCTTGGCGGGCGTGCTCGGTCAGGTCGTCGAGGTGAGGCATGATTGCGACTTTGTGGGGCATTGTCACGGATGAGCCGACGAATTTGGGGTTGGATTTGATTGAGGCTAGGTATTTCTCAATTGGGGGAGACTTCGTGTATGGTGGTGGGTAGGTCTCTGATGTGCCGGTTACGCTGGACAGTGGAATTTGAGTCCAGTTCAGTCCGAGGGTGTTATAGACGGTCTGGTGGAGAGGGGGGGACAGGGAGTTGAGGAGGGGGTGGCCGTAGAGGTAGGCGACGCCATCGACGTTGGAGGGGATGGAGATGGGCTCCTCTGGTGTTTGGTTAATCTCTGTGACGGACATGATGAACTGATTTTGTGATGTGTGTGCACAGTGTAGAGGGGGAAGGGGTCAATTGTTATAGCACAAAATGAGGTCGGAAAATATTGAGCCGTGGGGGCCGGAGAAACATTCTGCTCCTTCAACCACTCCACCCTACTGGGCATCCGATCTCCCACTCATCTACCCCCGGCCTCGGGATATTATTGAATTACTAATAGTAATCTAAAATTATTGTACCATTAAGATGTTATCTCTTCATTCTGAAATGCATTGACTTGATTGCAGACATCCTTCGTCCGGGCGCCACTATACATTCCTAGGGCTGAACGCTTTCCCCCAGCCTCACACAACCCCATGGGGGAGTCAACCATGACACGCACAAAGACCAGATCAAACCAATAAGAGAACAACTGTTACGACGAGCTGAACGGGCCAAGGCATCTAGATTGAGTGCCCAGGTGGGATGCCAGTAACAGATTGTTCGCAGTGGGCTGCATAGGACCACCGGGGAAGCGCTTTTCCCCGCCACTCCTTTGCATCAACCGGCCATTGGCCGTTCCCGGGCTCGCTTGTTCATGGCTCCATTCAAGCTTTACCAATCAAATCCCTCTTTTATTCGTTATTTCTGGCCCCAAGGAACGGGACGTGCATGGCATTGCCCCCGGGGTACCCCAGATGGCCAGAAGTATACAAGACGCGGGATTCTACCCCGGACCCACTACGGCGCTCTCCAACCAAACAGCAGAGATTTCTCTCTTTTTGCCAATTCCAAGCCTTCTGAGTCAATCTCTGCTCTCAGAGCCACAAAGCCAAGAGGCAAAAGCCAAATTGTTCCCACGTGCATGGTTCTCGCTAACTTAGACTATTCGTTTTGCCGCTCCTTGGCGAGTACTCTCTTTTTTCATACCTCATCTGCACTATACCTTTCTCCGCCTCCACATCTCCATGATTTCGTCCCCCTTTCTCAACCCCAGATTTCTCTTTCTCCCATTTCAAAGGGCAAATCGACGATCCGGGGCTAAAGCCTATTTAGCTCGTGGCCATCCTCGCTAGTTGGCTCTAACAAAACGTGGCGCGGCCTCTTCTATTTATTTCAACCTCGTCCCTCTTCCCTTCTTCACTTTCACACACTTACCCCTGCACATCGCTCTCCCACCTCCCACCTCCCACGTGGTAGATCTCCTACGCTCAGGTCGAAGGTCTTCCTACCTCTCTGCATCTAGCACTGGGTAAAGATCAAGATCTCTTATTCCATTCACACTCAATTCTTCATTCTATTATATTATATTAACCCGCCACCATGTCCATCCTAAAGCTGGTCGAAGACCGGCCAACCCCCCGGGCAGTCTACAACTGGAAGGTCTACCTCCTGGCAGCAGTGGCCTCATGTACATCCTGCATGATCGGCTACGACAGTGCCTTCATCGGCACAACCCTCGCCCTGGACTCGTTCAAGGCCGAGTTCGCCTTTAGCACCATGTCCAAGGCCACCCAGAACCTCATCAGCGCCAACATTGTCTCCTGCTACCAGGCCGGTGCCTTCTTCGGTGCGTTCTTCGCTTATCCGATCGGGCACTTCTGGGGCCGCAGGATCGGCCTGTTGGCTGCTGGTTTGGTGTTCATTCTCGGTGCTGGTCTTATGCTTGGTGTTAATGCCGATCGCGGTCTTGGGCTGCTTTATGCTGGTCGTGTCCTTGCTGGTCTGGGCGTCGGAGCTGGCTCTAACATCACTCCTATTTACATTTCTGAATTGGCGCCTCCTGCTATTCGTGGTAGATTGGTTGGTGTTTATGAGCTTGGCTGGCAGGTTGGCGGTCTTGTTGGTTTCTGGATCAACGTGAGTTTCTTTTACTTTGTGTGGGCTGTATTCAATGCTAACATCCTGTTATTAGTTCGGTGTCTCCGAGACCTTGCCTCCTAGCCACAAGCAATGGCTCATTCCCTTTGCTGTGCAATTGATTCCCGCCGGTCTGCTGCTTATCGGTGCTGTCTTCATCCGGGAGTCGCCCCGTTGGCTGTTTGGTCGTGGTCGCCGCGAGGAGGCTATCAAGAACCTTTGCTGGGTTCGCCAGTTGCCTGCTGATGACATCTATATGATCGAGGAGATTGGTGCCATCGACCAGGCCTTGGAAGAGCAGCGTCGTACCATCGGTATCGGTTTCTGGAAGCCCTTCCAAGCTGCTGGAACCAACAAGAAGGTCATGTGGCGTCTGTTCCTTGGCAGCGCTCTTTTCTTCTGGCAAAATGGCTCCGGCATCAACGCCATCAACTATTACAGCCCGACCGTCTTCAAGTCGGTAAGTTCATCTCACCCTATCACAGCTGTTCACGACTCATGCTGACAATCTTTCAGATCGGTGTCCGGGGTACCAACACCAGTCTCTTCACCACTGGTATCTTCGGTGTCGTAAAGACCGTGGTAACCTTCATCTGGCTCCTCTGGCTGATCGACCGCGTCGGTCGCCGTAACCTCCTCCTCATCGGCGCCGCAGGTGGTTCCGTCTGTCTCTGGATCGTCGGCGCATACATCAAGATCGCCAAACCAGAGAAAAACACCAGCGACAGCCTCAGCGGCGGCGGTATCGCAGCTATGTTCTTCTTCTACCTGTGGACCGTCTTCTATACCCCAAGTTGGAACGGAACCCCTTGGGTTCTCAATTCGGTAAGCATTCCACAGAAACACATCAACCCACCTTACCTTGAACAAACACTAACAACCCCCATAGGAAATGTTCGACCCAAACATGCGTTCGCTCGCTCAAGCCTGCGCTGCCGCCTCAAACTGGCTGTGGAACTTCCTCATCTCACGTTTCACTCCGCAGATGTTCGCAACCATGGGATACGGCGTGTACTTCTTCTTCGCGTCGCTGATGATCTGCTCTATCGTCTTCGTGTACTTCCTCGTCCCCGAGACAAAGGGTATTCCTCTCGAAAGCATGGACCAGCTCTTCGATATCAAGCCTGTCTGGCGTGCGCATGGGCGGATGGTTGCCCAGCTTCGCGAGGATGAGGCTAGGTTCCGTCATGATGTTGAGGAGTCGGGGATCTCTGTTGGCAAGATTGCTGCGGAGCAGGTTGAGGATGCTTCTCCTGAGGCGGCTCAGGCGAAGTATGCTTGAGGTTGATGATTTTTTGTTTCATGTTTGATGTCTCGCGTCGATTGATGTGATTTGTTTGGATGGACTGGACTGTGTCCGTCCTTGGATAATGAGACGTGTTGTTCAAATGGGTACGCTTCCTGTTCGGGGCTGCCTGGTATAGACGCAACTAGCGCTTTGCTGTATACGTTGTTCAATGGATATACCCTTCTTTTTCTCTATACATCAATCATCGTAAACGTTTTAAACAGGAAAAAAGAACTCTCCTAAAAACAGGAAGAACTAAACCCCAACAAACCATCAGCCTTCGCCCATCTCATCTCGTAAGCAAATCAACATCGATATCAACAGGCTGTCCAGACCGCATAGCCCTCTGAACAGCCTCACAAACAACCAGAGCCCGCAACCCCTCCTCACCAGTACAACTAGGCTCTGCCGTCCCACGAATAACATCAACAAAATGCGCAAGCTGCAAATCAAACGGCGCAGCCTCATCAGGAAGCGAAATACGATCCACAGTCAGCGGATGATTCCAGCTCTTCTCAGCACGTCCATCATAACTCCAGCGCGTCAAATCAGGCACACTAAGCGAAGCATCCGAACCGAAAATCCGATAAAAGTCCGAATCACCACCAGTAGTCGAGCGAGGGATAAGCGGGTTTTCACCAGTCCCAGTTTCAAAATTGTGGG